TGAATGATTTGCAAATAGCAAAATAGCAAATACAGCTTATTTTCGTTCATATTCGTACTATACAAAGCTACAGTTCCAATTTCTCTAGCTGGGACCATTTTTTGTATGGATGTACTAATTTTCGCAGCCATTTTTTGCTGTTTACGCTGTCAAATACGTTTTCTCATGGTTCAATTTGATATGGTAATCTTTTTGAGAGCACCGTTTAGCAAAGCTTACCAATAAATAACCAGATTCTTTTCAAAAACCTGGAGAAGAAAAAACTAAATAGCTTTTACCAGCTTAGATAATTTCTCCTCGGAAATCTCAAATATCATCTTGGAGCTAGCTTCCCGCTAGTCACGACGGAAAGTGAATTTCCCACTCTTATAGCCTCTATCTAGGTTTTTCAACAATCCTGATAAGGGGAAACTTGCTTTAGGCTTTGATCAGCTTCTGTAATTAATTTATTTCAAAATCAGATTGAAATCACTGTTCAACACATTGACGATTGCATGGATTAACGGTAGTTTGCGATGAATTCCATAATTTTCCATTTTCATTTCTGTTTGGGACGGATTTTTGTTGGATACTAGTACACATTCTGATATTCAAGCAAGGATCTGAACTTGTAAAAAAAGCAGTATCCTAGATAGCGCAAATCGTTATAAAAACAGTGCTGAAAAAGTTGTGCAAATTCTCGTCGATGTCAAAGTTTTTGTGGCAAACTGCTCTGCCAATTAGTTCGACTACCGACTGGCTCTTACATCCCTTGCGTCAGCTGCACGTGCTCATGGACGCAAATTTAAAGACTTTGACTTCAATGTACATATTTACCAATCATGTAACACTCGCAATGTCCATAGATAGGATGTGTGTTTATAACCCGCAAACTTCCTCATGCCATAAAAAAAGCGCGCAAAACGCATGTTTGAGTAGAGTTTTTGCGTAAACGGGCGCATCTCGTCGTCGTCGATAGTCACATCACTTCCTCTCAGTTTCCTCTCAGTGTCCACGTCCCAATTCGGATCTGTATGTGTGTGGATACGGATCATACGCAATATTTGTAGCGCAAACACTCAACGGTCATTGGCCCTAACGTGCGCTCGCGTCGACGACGACGTGCGCGAGCGAGCGCGGCGGCGGCGCAAGAGTGCGAATATAAGGGTCATAAAATCACTTGTTGTACTAATTATACTTATACGAGTCGATTTGTTTACTCTTGGGATGAGCCTTGAGGGAATTTGTAGGGGAATGGCTGTCGAATTTATTACAGCTGAAAAAAATTTCCGCAGTTGCTTTTACGTATTTTTGAAGACAACAAGGACATTTTCATTCCGATTCAGCCCAGAATAAAGGTCACAAAACCGTTTTGGGACTAATTTCTTCCATAAGAGAATATTCATGGACTGAACCGATTTCTTCAAATCAAAACTTGTGCGAACTTTCTCTCATTTTTTTGATTTTCTCTTGCTTATAGATAAGATAATATTTTTTGGAATTCAAAAATTTCTATATGTCGGCTTTGAATTACCTAGCAGGTCTTGGTCCTTGATATCGTAGCCCTATAGCAAAAATGTGTACTTATTCGTAAAACTCACAACTGCTGCTGATACTGGGATTGAAAGACCAGGTCGATACTGTAGTCTTACTGTAGCTTGAAATCAGAAATGCGGCTGAGCTTCGGGAAAGCTATTTGTGAACTGTATGACAATGTTTATGGTAGACAGATCCCGGACACCATAAACCTCGAGGAAGGCCAAATAACATATTTATTGTTAAAGGGTTTTTTCGTATTTCCTTGTCGTAACAGTACCCACTGAAATTTATTCCGAATTTTTTCGAAATTATTCCGAATTTATAAATGCAATTACACTATTTCGGATTTCTCAATTTTTTCACGCTGAGATGTGTTTATCTATTTTGAAGTCTTTTGGAAGCTTTGTTTTTTATTTCAAAATAGTCAAGTTCTTGCAAAATAAATTTTAAGACCAGAAAAAATGTGTGCATTCTTCAGAATTTCTGAAATACTCTTTCCAGCGAAAGTGCCTAATCCGACGTCTTCCAATGGTTTCTTGCAACAAGCTGAAAATATTATTTTTTGGAATTTATTTTAACATTTTTGCAATGGGGACATTGTGTCAATTATTTACTAAATCCGCTATAAACCCTATGGTCCACGTTTGATCTGGTTTAGATTTCACGGAAGCTGTTTGCACTGAAAATAAAACAATGTTTGAATAAATACAAATATTTGTCTAAAGCACCTCGTCGTTGCGACCATTATCAGCGTGTCAGTCGTCGACACGCGCATATTTGCATGCGTTTGCGTGTGCGTATGCGTGTGTTGTCGCAGACGCGCGCACATTTGCAGACTTTCGCTTCCAAATCGGAGCAAATATTTAGCGGAATCAGTGTCTAGACAAACTTATCGCTGCTAACAAGCCATGTGTGCTTTGAACGAACGCTTGGAACATGGCTGGTGGCGGTTATCGCCACCAGCCACAGCCTGGAATGGGGACGGGGGGCGAGAAAAAGGTGGAGGGGAGGGAGGGGAAGAAGGAGACAGGGCCAAAAACGTGACCGGCACCGTCACGCTCGTGGGCTCGAAGTTTTGCAAAACAATCAGTCCAGACTTCTTGTTTCCGTAGAACTGATAAGGAGGAGGAGGAGCAACCTGGAGAACCCTCTAAAGGCGTTAGAAATCCGTTGTCAAGTAGATCAACTGTTTGTGTGTGTGTAATTCCATCTGTTCCCGACAAACTCTTGACTCTTTATCAGAAAAAATATTTGTTCTTGAAAGTAACCTGTTTGCTTACATTTGAATTTGTTTACCCCGTGGATAATTTGTCATCATAGCTGAATTTGGCACGAAATTGCCAAAATCTTTCATCTTTTGATAATGCTCATTTCATAAAACAAACCGAAAGATTGAGAGATCCTCAAGGGAAATGCATAATTTAGCCTACTAATTGTTCTCTAACTTCATTAATTTTTGACTCCTAAAACAACTTCTGTGAGTTCACACCAACAACTTCTTCTAAATAAATATTCAAAATTATTACAGATAGTCATATATGAAGCTCTACCTGTTTGACATTTGCAATTTTTCTTAGTATCTTGGCCAGGAGCCGGTTAAGCCTTGAATTTATCTAATTTCAAATGCAAAGGTAGAGATCTTACAGCATGTTCAAGAATCCTTTCCATTTCCCTTCCGGGTTCTTGACTCTATAGCTTATTTTTACAAAATTTCTGGCACTCAATACCATACATGGTTTGTAGATGATTTTTATTTGTCATTCAAGTACCAATTACTAATTTTGTTCTGCTAGCTTGGAAATTTGTTATCAATCCTGAACTACTGAATTACTTTTCGAGCAATGTTATCTTGGTTTTCCCGTTCTCTGCAAGTGATCTACTAAAAAATATGAGCTTTCATATGTGAAGAACTCTTATGTTACAATTTAAAGCCTTTCCGAAAACTTTCACAAATCACAATGATGAGAAAAGTGATAGCAATGTTGGTTTTCTGGAGGGAGCAACTCAAGACTTCTTGGAATTCGATAAATGCTTCATTCGTTTTTACTTCTGATAAAACGATTTTATAAGCAGAATAATAAGAGCGAACTGAAAATATACCCCCACTCCCCTCCCAGCCTTCAAATCTGCGTTAAAATCGAATTCTGAGGCCAATTGATTTTAGCCAGTTCCAGGATATAATGCGAGATTCTTCTGATTTTTTGCTTCATGCAGACGCCAAATTCCTCATATCCTTTTTCCCCGAACTCACGAGACGTGAAAGTGGCTTACTCATTCGATAATGCGATCTGCTAGAAAAACTCAACTCAATCGTCTTTCCATGGCACTATCAGCTACTTAACCTTTGATTTCACCCGATGCCCTTGTTGGGGGCGCATTCTTGTTCACACTCAGGAACAAATAAGATCCTAATTCGTGCACAAACATTCGCGTTTTCTCACTAAACGTCAAAGTAATTGAACTCTTCGCGGCGGCGGTGGCGGCGCCGGCTCGGTGTTTGGATAACGGTGCGCCGGGGCCCCGCCCCCGGGCGCGCGGCGGCCAATCGCCGCGGCCCCAGCAGCCAGTCACCGTGCTCGGCCACACCCTTACCTTAACGCCCCGGCCACACCCCCCTAGAGGAGCGCTTTCCTCAACGGCTAGTGTTTGCACAATGCCTGTCCGCACACTACGCTGCTCAAACGCCAACTCTGTTTCGTCTGTGTGTCTCGCCACGATCCTCAGGGGATACGGTGTCTCGTCGAGTGTCTAGCTGTCGAGCTTCTCCACCTTCCGTTCTCTCTCAGCGCGCTCCTCGTCGACCGTACTGTTTGCCTTCACCTGTGCAGTGCCGGGGTGCGCCTAGAGTCGCGGCGGTCCCAACTCAAACTCCCCACTCTTTTGCCCCTCAGCAGATATTCGAAAAAGCCCATTCTAGGCCTTTTCATTCTGCCTAGACTCTCGGCCTTTTATCGAGAAAATTCCCTTAGAAAAACGCACTTTTCGCTCTCTAATCTCGCCACCACAAATGTTTCCAAGTAGATGTTTCTCTGATAAGCCCCTTATCAACCCTATCGCCCCTATTAAGAACTTCTCCGGGTGTTCGGTTTGCGCCTTCAGCAGCAGCCCAGCCCAGCCACCGAATCGCAACAGCTTATGTCCACAAAACCTTCTCACTAAGTCAATTTTGCCGACGGCTACTCGCTCCTCTCCTCCCCTACTATTTGTTCTTTTCGGTTTTGTTTACATATTTACATTTCGATGTTGCAAACTACTCAGAGTTAAATATTTGAGATCTAAACATAACACACACGTGTCAATATTGAACACACAGCAAACGTAAGGGTGTTGCTCCCCTCTTATGTAGCCTTCTTCTCGTCTTCGCCAGTGTGTGTGGCAATAAGACGGCGGTGGTGGAATCGATTTCACTTAAGGACAACTGCAATGAAAAACAGTGTTCTTGAGATGGGGTTAATTGATCAGAACGGAAGGGCGGAGGCTAGATGGTAGATGGGTGGTTCCTCGGGCCTGTGAAGGGTTTTAGGGAGATTTGGAAACGTTTGGAAATAGTTTTGCTCGGGCTGTTAGTCGTCAGAAGTAATAAAAGTCAAGCTACCCTAGTTTGGTTTCTAACTCAGCAAATTTGAGAAATCTGAACAAAATTTTGGCTTGTGCCGTGAAAATTTAAATCTTACAAGGTTCCTTCGGGCTGATAGCACCTTATAACTGGAATTCATAAGAATCTGATTATATTTTTCCTGTTTCATGACTTCAAAGCCGTTTCCCACACTTCTCCACCAGCCATTCTCCAAAATCTCCGAAAGCCATTTCTCAAGAATTCGTGTCGCGAGTTCTTTCCCATAATCTCCTGGAGCACTTGGTTTTTTTTCAAGACATTCCCGTGCCTCACAAGAATTTCCAGAGCTGTTTTTCAAAACTTTTCATGTCATTTTTTGATTAAAGCCATGACCCAATACTTCCCAGAACTCGCTACGATTTCCTAGAGCCATTTTCCACGACTTCTCTAAATTTCCTAGAATTTTCCAGAACCGTCTCTCAAACTTTTTTAAGCCATTTCTCAAGATTTCCTAGGGCCATTTTTCTAGCACTTTGACAGCATCAGATTTCTGACTTTCGAGACTAAATGAAGATTTCTCTCCTATATGTAAGAATTTTCCTTCCCAATTTCGGCACAGCTTTTGACTTCTTACGAAAGTTCATATGGTCTAGAGTGGATTATTTCTGCAATGTTTTCGTTGTTGATTAGCAAGCCTTCTAACTCATTACAGTTTATCAATTTACCGTAACCACAAGAACCGTATACCGTAATCTCACCGTAGCCACCACAACCGTGCAAAATTTTTCCAATTCCCAGTAAAATCTCATTAAATGCAATACTTTTCCAGCTATCGTAATGGACAGTTTCCTTTCTCCCCTAGCGCTTCAAAACCTATAACATTCAAATTTTATGCGTTGCCATTCCTCCTCTTACAACCCGTACCATTCAAAACTCGAATTCTATCTGCTTAGTCACAACACGAGGTGATAAATTTTGATAGGAGGGCTTGTTGGTGCTGTTCGGAGCGCTTGGAACGTGTGGAACGCCGAATCAGATGACGACTTCAAAACCTATTTACGCGTATTGTGCTGATATTATTTGTGCGGGGGGGGGGGAGAAAGAACAGGGTTGTTGGTTTGTACCTGGGTACGGAACGTGCTGTTCCTAGCGCGTTATCTTCGGGGGGAATTTTATCAGTAGAGTGGCCGCTGGGGAACTTTCTTTTTGGTCTTGTTTTGCACTTCGGAATGCGTTATTTTGAATCATATATCAACCATCGGGTAAAGCTTCCCCTCCGGACCTTTCTACCCTCGAAAAACCCTCCTGAACCCCAGAACCACCTCGATATGGCTGCTTAAATCCCTTTGGCCGAGCCCCGGCGCAATATTTCGCCCCAGGGCTTTCTCCTGCGCGTAAATTGGTATTCTCATCGAGCGCTTGAAACACGATATATGAGGTCAGAGCCTCGTCCCTCTCCCTCTCCTTATGGCTCGAAGGCTTATTCGCCGTCTTGGAAGTATAAAGGGTCCTTGAAGGGATAATGAGAACAAGTGGTGTGGTGTTGATGACGGAATTTTGGAGATTTGTACGTAATTACACAATTTATTCGTAGTTAAATGTATCGTTTCGCTGTCGAATGTTGCCAGAAAGTGAAAATCTGCTCCATGGCTAATTTTTGCCCAAATTTCAGATACCAAAGGCCCGACCATATGCTTCCGAGCAGTCTGGCCGTTTCGTCCAGCTCGGCGACGCTTGACGCCGCTAGCCTCTACCAACCGTCGACAGTTGGTCAGACAGGCCTACAGGTTTGTTCATTTATTATTTTTCCCATGTAAAACATACTAATCGATCGGTTCCACCCCAAACCATATTGTTTTGCGCTTGGAACACACGCTACATGCACATGACTCAGTCTCACTCCTTGCAGAAGATACCTTATCAGAGTTGGCCCGGCCCCATAACTGCGCCCTCTTGCGACGTCTTGTCGTCGTCCACAAAACTTCCAATCTTTGATAGCGAAAAAACCGTAGGAAATGGTCCTCCCACTCACTTGATACATTATTTTCCTCTCCCACTCACTTACTTTTCGAAATTCTGCAATTTCGCGTCGATTTCCTTTCTTGTTTATTCTAAACAGCTGCCGCTATCTTCACATTGCTTCTATGTGTGTATTTACGTACGCAACACAATGTACATATTTGTACTGATGCTACTCTGGAACGAACGGGAAGAAGTTTGTGTAAATAGGGGGGGGGATGGAAGATGTCGTCATAGATAAGCAGTGATTTGATTTCGGGATAAATTGATGAAAGCTTTTCGCAAATTCGTGTGCAAATCATGCGTATCGATTAGAAGTGAGTAGTTGACGCAGAGATGGTGGTTAATTTGGTTTTAGCTCCCTTCTCAATCCTCTCAAAATTCTGAGACCTAAAGCCTTTTTCGAAGCTCTGGAAGTTCAAAATCTTCGGAATCTTCTCTCGAACTTTTGTTCAATTGCTCCCTGTTTTGACGTCGTGCAAATTGTGTAATTTTCCGTGGGCCTATAGCATTGCAGAACAACTTTGTTTTCTCCCAAGTATTCCGAACATCAATGTTATCCACTTCCGCCTATTCCAACCGGAACTACCGCCGCCACGGTGGCACCACTTTCCGCTTCTCCGTATCCATTCCCGCTCTAGTTATGCCGACGGCAGTCAATGCGCTTTCATCGAACCTAGATTCACATCGCAATCACATGTGTGCCAGGCCAGTCCCGAGAGCACAATAGAAAAAATCCGGAAATTTTCCCCTAAACTCCCCCCCCCCTTCGTATCGCCGTCGAGCTCCACGAAGAACCGGCGCCATCGTTGCGCCGCCGCCAGCACTTAGCCACGATCCGTCATCGGCTGCGGCGGTGACGGGGGGGGGGGGGTAAGGGGGATACGGTATACGTGACGACGGGTGCTCGGCTCAACGACGATGACGATGGAGCGCGGAGAGCGCAGACATCGCTCCGCTCAACGACGATCATTACATTCGGGACAGGCGGGGGATGGGGGGGGGGGGGGGGTACTGAGCGTAGTCGCGGCGGCGGTGACAGATATACCGTATACTGTGCTCGGTTGTGATGAGTGGCTTGACTGGCGCGCCCGACTGATCCGATGACAATTTTTCGCCCCGAAAACATTTTTTGACGCACAACAGAGCGCTGCCAATTGGTACTGGGGAACGGGGGCTTAGGGGACAATCTATTTGTTCCGATAAAGATTTGGTTTTACCTGAGTTGAGTAAAAATAGGAAAAATTCAAAAATTGCGAAACCTTTACCTAGAATTTTGAATTCCATTGGAGTTTTGATTTCCTGCACCTCCAGATTCATTTACCCATTTTTGTTTACCCAGAGCAAACAAGTAAAAAAATTGCAGCGAGATGAGATCAGTCCATAAACACTTTTTTGAATCAATCAAAAGACCAGCGTTTATTTATCGACTTAATTTTTCAATGCAAGTTTAAAAAAAGGATTTTTGGATTGCGAACATTTTTCTGAAAATTTCATTCCGATTGAAAATACTGCGATAATTTATATTATACTTATACCACTTACTTGTACTTGAAACTATTCCTGATCGTTTCTACAATACGCCCGTGCTTACACTCTCCATAATTTATCCTTATTTTTTCCTGTAAAAATTGTGATCCGAAAATGGTTTATCCGCAATTGCACAATATTATCATAGCATAACGAAATCTCAATAAAATTGCCATCAAAAGTTTTTGAATGCTTTTCAACTCTTTCTTTCTAGCTGGGGTTTTGGAAGAACAGAGAATTTTTGAGCTCCAATCATTTCCTTAGAACTGCATTTTTCTCATTTTCTAATCATAATTTTTGCTAGAATTTTCCTTATAACATATTCGGCCCACTTTCAGATCCAAGGAATGTCAGCTCAAGATTATGCGGCTTCCGTTCAACCCTCCTACTCAACCAATGCCAACGCTTACAATGCCTATCAATGGCCCACAGCTATAAATAGCATCAACACCCTAAACACCCTTGGGACATACAATCCGTACAACAATTACACGACGACGACAACCCCGATGAACTCAGCCTATTCGGGTTTTCGAGTTAGCGGTGGTATATCACCCATCGGTGAGTTGAAAGCTCAATTCGATGCTGCGACTTGGGAAGCATCGCGGATTTTTCCTGTAGGTGGAAATCGAAGTGCCTCAGGTGGCAGCACTGGCACAACCTTGTCCGGTACTTCTGCTTCGACAGCGTCACCGTCACGAGGTTCTTCATGTGGTGGTGGTGATCAACAATTGACTAGTTCTGAATTGGTAAGTATTTGTGTACAAGTTTATACAAGTTGGGTTGGTCCCGCAAAGAACTTGGTTACGGTAGCTCTAAAAGTAGACTGATGATGCGATTTTCTATGCCGAGCTGGTGATTCCGTAGGGAACTTTATCATCGTAACTCGAAAAATAAACTGATCATATGAATTTACAAGCCATGCTGATGATCTCGTAAAGAATTCTATTACGGTAAGTCAAAAAGTAGATTGACTACATGAATTTTTGCAAAGTGATGGTACAAGGAACTCTAATGGTAACTTCGGTAGCGGACGATTGCATGATTTTTTTTTTACTCAAATTCGTGGTCCTGCAAAGAATTCCATTACTGTAACTCTAGTAGTAGCTTGATTGTACGGTTTTTGCAAAAAATTGATTGTCCCACAAGAAGTTCATCACGGTACCTGTGATACTTAACTAAATGTTAAATTTTTGTACCAAGTTGATGGTCCCGCAAAGAACTCTGTGACGGTAACTCCAAAATTTTATTGATTTTACGTATTTTTTCTAGGCACGGATTCGTCGTACGGGAAATTATGGATGTGCAAAACCACCATATTCGTACATTTCCCTCATTACAATGGCTATTCAACATTCAGCCAATCACAAAATGACGCTATCGGAAATCTATAATTGGATTATGGATTTATTCCCATACTACAGGCAGAACCAGCAAAGGTCAGGCCGAGGGTTAGCGACTTCCGTTTTTCGTTCGCTTACATCCCCTCGAGGAAATTTTTTCCTTGTCTTTCTTCTATTTTTAGTCCTTGTTTAGCATTTCCTCCTTATTAATTTCTATTTCAAATTTTTTATCTTTCAGATGGCAAAATTCGATTCGACATTCGCTATCCTTCAACGATTGCTTTGTAAAAATTGCCAGGTAAGCCAAATACCGTTCAAATTATTCGCACATGTTGACCATTTTTTTCGTTTCAGGACCCCAGACAAACCAGGAAAAGGCTCTTTCTGGACGTTGCATGAATTGTGTGGTAATATGTTCGAAAATGGTTGCTACCTTCGACGACAGAAGCGATTCAAGGTCAAGGAACGTGACCCTCCAAGAAAGAAGGTAATTCGCCGCTGTCCACTTCCGGGCTCAACACAATTCAAAAAATTTATTTTTGTGCAAAAAAGAGAAAAGAGAAAAAAGAGAAAAGAGAAAAGAGAAAGAGAATATTTTTTTCAGAGAAATAACAACCAAAACAACCAAAATCACCAAACCCAAGTGAATAACAACGCTGCCATCAAAGAAGAAATGGAAGACACCTATAAGAGCGAAGAAGCGAAGATGGATCTCAACACAATCTCCAACGTCTCTCAGGAGATCAAAGATCAACTAGGCCAGCAGCAACAGCAACAACAGCAACAACAACAGCAACAACAACAGCAACAGCAGCAAGCGTTGCAACCCATTTCCCTCTCGACTCCATCTTCCCTAAGTCAACCGACGTCAGTGATATCCACTGTTGGTACGACTCCACTCGGATCCCAAGCCACTGCGGTAGGTATACGGTAATTGCTGGTGTGAATTTGCGTGACTTCCGTTGTATTATGGTAGGATGCATTGTTCTCGGGTAGGATTGCCTCAGGATGTGACTCTAGGTGTTACGTCACTGGTTAAACAAGGTGACAAGGCAGGATAGGTGTGAATGACGTGCTGCTTTCACACCTTTATCCAAGGTTTACATAACTCCTCAGTTGCGTAATGAGAAGGGTCATGGGTGTAAATGGGTAAATGAGGGTAGGGGAGAACAACGAATCGGTGTTAAGTTACCTAGTTGTCTTATCCTTTGCACAATTTGTGTGAATCAAGGCTAAGATACCGGACCAAAGAAGTTCCTGGGCAAATTTTGAGCACGGTTACTTCCTAATTGAAATATGAAGCTTGGGGCACTTGCTCCTAACTTTGAAAAGTGACATTGATTTGTATCAAACTTACTTGAATTATTCAGATTTTGAGACAAAAGTCTTATAGAACCTTTGCAGAATACGCATCAGACAAAAAAAGATGGGAGTAATTGTAGAAAATTATGCTTAATTTGTATTAAGCGAACGATCTGAGGCCAGCAAAAGTCTCGGATGCTTGAACAATGTTTTATGTTGCTCAGAATGGAGCCTAGGGTACCTACATCTACTATTTGGATATGACTCTGTGAGATGTATCGTCAAGTTTGCAACTTTTCGAGGATTTTTTGATTTTTCATTTAATATAGAGTACGACTTCCACGCGTTGAAATCTCTACCGTAATCCTACAATAATTAAGAGAATTTGCTAAGAGACATAAACACTCAATATACTCAACTTTTGGGTTAGAGACAGATATTTGGGACGTATCAAACTTTGTATGCACCCAGTAATGCTTTCAATTTAGTTATTGATGCGAATTCAGCGGATTTTTTTGGTTACGGTAGAATTATGGTAGAAATTTTATGAACGCATCAGCGTCATCATAGCTGGGTGACTTCTTGAGATTCCGATAATGTAAACATTATAATGGTCGTGTAGTTTGGGCTTGAATTTATCCAAGAATCAGTAGATTCCTTGGGTTACTGTAGGGTTACGGCAGGAACCTTCAATACACGTAAATCATGAGTTAGTTGGCGTATCATACAAATTCAATTTTTGCAAATTTTGTTATATTGAAGTGTCTTGTTCATCAAATTTGTACTGTGATTCTCGTTCTTTCCATAGCTACTACCCTGAATATTGATTTATTGATTGTGCGACAAATTCCTATGATTCTCGTTCTTTCCATAGCTACTACCCTGAATATCGATTTATTGATTGTGCGACAAATTCCTAGAGTAACATCTTGGAGTTCAAAAGCGCAGCGCCTACTTTTCGTTCTCTCCTCCCCAGCTCCAAATCGTTGTCAAATTGGTCTTTTCACCGTGCTCCTAAACCGATTAGGGAGTTTTCCCGAGAACGAACGTCTCTAAGAAAAGCATAATCTCATTAAACCACTCAACTAATCTTGTTTCTATGACTCATAGGCGTTTTTTCCAGGTAAATCCTTACTATCAACTGTATAGCACGGATTTCTCAGCGGCTGGTGGTCTTCCGGGACTTACCGTACCCTCGGCGTTTTCGATCAATAAATTGATGGATAGTACGAATGGTTTCGATTATAATTATTACCAGACGTCTGCTAATGATTATGGTGGTTATTCACACACCTTATACAGGTAGGTCTTGCATGGATTACGGTAGATAACGGTAATCGCTGGATTTCGTGGTAAAACCTGTCATGTCTAGTTCAACAAATCCGAGCACAGCATCAAATCTATGATGAAGAGATTAGTGTGATACTCGTCCGAATTCGTGCGAAATTGTGCCAGAGAGTGTGATGACGTGCAAACTCGTCCATCGTCTCGACCCAACTCGTCCACTCTCCTCAACTTCCGTTTGTGTGCAATTTTTCATATCTGTATATACACATTGTTTTTCACTTTTTTTGTTTTCTCCCCCCGCCGTTTCTCCTCTTTTTCCGACAACCCTCCTCTCTTCGTCTTACAACGGTTTCATCAGATGCCTTATTTTCATATATTGTGTATCTAAGTGTGTTGTTGTTGTGTTGTGTGTCTCGGACCCACTCAATGATGATTTTTGTTCTTCTTTTTTCGGAAAAATATTGATTTGATCGATTCGTCGCTTCCACAACACCCCTTCATCATGCGTCGCGCCAATTCTGTCCTTACTTAAACTCTCTCATCATTCATTTGCTAAATACGGTTCCTATCAAAATCCTAAACGTTGTGAAATGAAATCCGTTCCGTAGATTCACTTCCTCATTGGACACTTGTATGAGCGTAATAGCGGTGAAATAACCGACTCTCTTGCACACATAATCACCACACTGCATTTTATTGATTTTATCGATTCACCAAATATCGATTTTCTCTCTGATCTTGCGCACATATCCATATATCATCTGATCACTCGTTTCCACACCTTGAAAGTCATCAAATTTGAGCCGTTCAGAGAGCAGCCCCCACTAGCTCAGCTGTCCGTCCACATTGACCAATCAATAGTCATATTTTTCATTGGTGTCTTACTCTTTGTGTACTATTCATACTCTCTTGTGCTTTAGGGTCAGTAGATGAATTATGTATACCTATAGGTTGTGGTCCTTCAGGGAATTTTTGTGCGCCGCCGCCACGTCGTCGTGCGTCGTGCGCCGCGTCGCGCATGCACACGCGGCATCGATCCACTCAAAAATCGTCTGGGTTACTGTAGCTTTGTCATTTTTTGTTGTGTATTGACGACCTTATGCAAAATTTTTCCCCCCGTCTTCACATCGACATATTATCATCATCTTCGCCTCCACAAAGCGCATGTCGTTTGTTCGATGTGTGAAAATCCTCCCCCCCCCCCATTTTTCTATACAAACCAAATCTCTGCGTTCTGTACGTGAATTATCGATTTTTTCACCTTGTTTCTTCCATTTCAATTCACGGAAAATGTGCATATTTATATTTTAGAGTGATTATGTTGTTTGTTATACGACACAAAACAGTAATAAAAATTTACATAAGTTATTTGTCAAGAATGTGTACAGAATTTAGAAATAAAAAAATAATTTTTTAAGAAAACGAAAAATTCAAGCATATTTATTCTCAGCCATTTTGGCTCAAAATTTGATTAAAAGTGGCTGTCTACATCAATATCTAAAAAAAAAATCAAATTACAGTAAATCAAATAAATTAGATCAAAATTATATAAAACAGAAAGTAATGCACAGTTAAAATATTCAAAAGTGAAATAAATTCCCAAATTTCATGGCTATGTCTACAAAATAAATAGAAAACATTAAAGTCTAGAATTTGAGAAAATTATTGATTTGTCTTTGCCGAAAGAAATTCCCGTTTCATGGGCTCTTCATAAGTGAGCCTACACGAGGGTTTATCGATCATTCCGAAAAAAAAACAATCTAACTGATATAAGGAGTCGTTAGCTTAGTCAAGAAATTTCCAATAGCGAGAAACCGCGTCGGGTCCCGAAGCGAACGCTCTTTCAATTAGCACCTTTAGATTACTGGTTCACTAGTAAATGCTAGTAAACGGAGAATATAACTCAATTGCAGAAATCCATCGAAATATTGATTGATCATTGGAAATAGAAATTCCCGTTTCACGTGTTCTTCATAAATGGGACTGGAGCACGTCCGTGTTTTTTGGTTTTAACTGGTTGGTATTCTGTTGACATTTGACGTGAAGGACAAGAGGTACTGCTCCAGTATATTCTGCGTTCGTTTCGGGACCTCTGGAGCAGCGTTGTCGATAGTGTAGTTGTGTTTGTCGAATCGCCTATACACAGTCTTTGTAAGCCATTTCTGTGATTTTGGGGACTTTTCCGTATTCAAACCTGATTTTTTTTTAGCGCAATGTGTTTTGGATAGAATTACCCTACAGCTTGACCCACTCCTTTGCCCTAGTGGGACAAGAAGTGCAACTACCGTGCCCTACTCCACCTGAATTCGACGCCACACTCAAACCTCCTCACATCTACCTCCACCTCATCATATCGCGACCCATTGAAGGGTCACCTTACTCGGGCGCAATGTTTTCTATGCGATCGCGCTCGCGCTTCGGCGCGATGGCCTTCTTTTGTTGCTTTGAGACCGGAAACCACTTGATATCCTCATAGAACCCATCTACTACCGGAGACTCTACTCATCTCGTGTACAATACTTGAGACGAGATAACAACGGATACTCGATGTGGTAAGAGGGAACAATGCCCGCTGAGTCTATCCGGATAAGGGCTAGGTGATCGTTGGTGTACAGGTGGCTTCCAAAAAACCAATCAAAAAATCTGAAATGAGTAAAAATAATGTATGAAGGAATCCTTCAAGCTTCTAGTATTGTAAATTCGGTCAAGAATTGCGAGGACATAAAGTTGAATAAAATAAACTAAGAATAAAAGAGGTTTAGACTACCGCAAATAAAGAATGATTCTTCCGTACTGTCCTGAATTAGCATTTTTGAGAAATTTCAAATATAGGCTCTATTTCAAAATTAATTGGGCCCACAAAATTCTACCAGTATCTCTCCTTGTAGTATAACTACTTGGTATCTGCTGAAATGATTTTTGATCACATTTTTCAAATCAATTTTGGTGTAAAAGTCAATAAAATACATTTATCCGCTTCTGCACAAGAAATTACAAATATATCTGGGATTTTTTTCAGATCCATCGAGTCAACAAGACGGAAATCATCATTTTTCAATTAATCGTTTATTATTTACTTATTTGACTCAAGCCTAGTGCCATGTACACATTGAGTAAACAAACCGTACAATGAAGCACTCACTTTTAGCAAAATTGATTTATTTGCTTTTTAAATTCCTTTTCATTCAATTTGATTCAATTTTTCAATTCCAATCGATCCACTGTACACATTAATAGAAAAAAAACTCAAGGATTTGAACTGTGGAATTTTCAATAAGTTTCTCCTGTTTTTAGAGCACATCGAGTAGTTTTGAAGTTAAATTTACCTCTTAAAATTCATGTCAATTGCCTGACTAAAATTTAACTTAGAAACTCCCGTTTCTACAATGCTACAAATTAATCGCTTCGGGGACTGGAGCGGTGGTCGGTTGATGTTGCTGGAGTGAGAGGTGAGGTTCTTGAGACATGTGTAGAGTGAGACATGTTAATTTCTGATTTACATTTTCTTTTTCTTTTTCCTTTTTTTTCATGACATTAGCAGCGAAAAGTTCTCGAATTTGTCATGTTTTCTTAGATCATTGTAAACAACTTGGCTCTAGGACAATTGTATTGACTAAATTTGGTGTAAAAGTTTCCGTTTCAGCGAGGGTACAAAACCAGTGAACCATTTCATGCGTGGTGTAGCGCTCTAAGTATCCAGGTCAAAAAGGTGGACCTTTTCATTGTAACTTCAAGAAATTGTGGCGGGGGAGGGGAAGGAGGTTCTATTCACATATTTCGAAACATTGCCAAAGGGCAAAGTAGTACCTGTACTTGTACTGTAGTCCTCGACCAAAAGCTACCGAGCTACAGTACCTAGTGCGCAGGTGAGCACATTGCACTTCGATTTCTCACACACAGTCACACAGCTTATTAAATCCGTCACGAACACACCACCACTCGTGACTCAGCTCTCTTCCGAACAATTTCTCGATTTCTCGGCGTATCCAGCACTTGCGCACGTCTCTCGCGTCAGCTCTCGGATTCTCGTGCGGCGCTGGCACAAGAGTCCTTTGAGAGGACAATCGCGCAGCCGCGCACGATCGCGGGCGCGACGGCGGCTGCGACGGCGCTCGGGATCGTCGAGGGTTCGGAATCGTGGATTGTGCGGTGAGCAGAAATCACGACTGAATTTGAAATTGTGGGGAGCAGGGGAGAGAAGAATGGAGGGTTGCAATGGATTTTGTAGATCAGAATGTACTCGACGTTGGAAAAATGCCAGGAAATAATATAAGTTTAAAAATATTCGTGTACTTCATAATCACTTATTAATTACAAATTTTGAACCCATCGCTGAAATGCCATTTTTGGCAAATTGTATAAGAAATCTGTAAATTTCTTGAAGAATTGTGAGGGGATTTTCCGTAATTTTCCGTTTTCTTTTTCATAAAAAACGATTTTTAAGATCTGTGACGATTAAACTACGACAATCTGCACTTAGAATATCTCCCCAAAAAATTTTCCGTTTCTTCAAGGTTACAAAATGAACGATTTTCTACACTTTTGTTCCTATAGGAACAAGTTAGGGATTTTGTGGCAGATGTTGTTTTCAGATCACCTCAACGCACAAGCTACAGTAATCTACAGTATCTACAGTATCGTGTGGTGATTTGCTACATACTATACTGTAACTGTGTGAATGAGTTTTGGGTTATGAGGATATCGAGTATGACGGAAATTAATGGTAGACATACATGAGGTAATTTACCCATGTATTTACCGTTACATTTTCCAAAGATTACTGTATCGTTACTGTATTCCCATAATGTCCACACTCCTTTATGGCTGAATTTTTGACTAATTTTTGAAAATCTGGTTATAAGTAGGTTTTATTCAACTCTTTAATGTTATTCTTGCAATTTCTGATTTTGATTTCAGTTTTTTTCGAAATTATTTTTATTTAAACAAACTCAACATGGATTACTGCTTCCAGAAATCACTCTACTTATTGCCGCATTCCTCACTTCTTATTTGTATTTTACAAATGCATTTTCCGAGCATTTTTGTAAGCAGTGTTTGGATAAAAGTCCTATAGAACTTCTTTTTGCTTCCTAGGCAGTAATTCGTACACTTTTTTCTGACTTCTTGAATTTTTTTTTCTGGATTCTCACGATTAATTCACATGATATCAAAGCGTTTCAGTACAACTCCTTCTCAAACAATCGATAACTCTCTGGATCTGTGGAACGCAGTTGTGCAAATAAATAATATTTTGACTGTGCACGGAGTGTTCCACCTGTCAGCTGAGTAATCAGCTCAAATCACACTGTACTAATTTCCTACAATTCAACAGAAATAGTATATGTACACACATACATACATATGAAATTTCAATTTTTATTTGATATCTCGTAAAACACACTCTCTGTCTATGTATGTACGCAAATTGGTAGATAAACAAGTAAACAATAAATATGTCAATGTCAATCGATAGATCAATAAAACTATGGAACATATAGAGTCTTACAAAGCGAAATGATGTGTAGGGGTCAAAGACATGTTCTTTATTGAGCTTTGCGAAAGTTTGGAAGTGTAGTAGAACGAAGGCCGCACTTAAATTCATCACAAAAACGAGCTCTCCAGCAACCTTGTAGGGATACCTACGGATTTTCCCACGGTATTCAATATTCCCACGATTTTCGTTTGTCTTCTGTTTGTGTATTTGATGTTTACTCGTGTTCAACAAACATCACACCAAACACTGTGTCTTTGTGGTCGAAGTAAATATTAGGAGGCGGGAAATTCAAATATTTGTAAAATAGATGGGTGTTTATAGAGGCAGCCGGAGAGAGGAAGAAGCCTATTGACACATGAAGGATATATTTGCGCATTACGTCGTTTTTATTTGTGGTCAGAGATTGCAGTTATTTTTGGCGGTAAGGCAGTCTGGGCGAGGTAAGAGAGATAAGCTGGGAACGCTGTAGCTTCGGGGTAAAGTTCGGAGGAGGGAGGGTAAGCAAAAGGTAACTTAAAGATGGTTAACATGGGTAACACCAAAAGCTTACCGAACTTACCCATTGCGATTTATAGGGTGACTAGAGAGTTGGCAGGTATAAATAGAGATTGTAATTCGGGTGTAGGCCTATGGGATAAGAGTAAGATAAGGAGGTGATCCAGCTTTGGCACTGGGTTGAAGCCAGAATCACCAACCTTGCCTACAGCTAGTCGAGACCAAACCAAGTGGTTGGGAGCGGTAACTTGAGAGCATGCTTCAGGGTACAGCTTGGAGGATTAGGGTAAGACTACGCATACCCAATGCTGTAAACCAATATTTCAACTTCGCCTACTACAACTCAAGGTCGAGCAAGGTAATGAATAGGGATGCGGCAGTCAGACTGTGGTACAGTGGTTAACCCAGAAACTCATAAATCTTACCCGCTGCAACTCGTACGGTCAACAAAGAGAGCTGGAGCTGTAAGTCAGATTCTTGAGGGCTACGGTAAGCCAAGATTAATCATAGGTTGTGGAGGCATAGACTTGTAAACCCATTAACTTTACCCGCGGTAACCCACCCATGATGAGTAACCAATGGCAGTTCACTACAGTCATCAGCTAATCGTTTTGAAAACATATCGCATGCAAACTATAGCTATTGATCTGTCATGGTTAGACATGATTTGTTGAGTATGCCGAGAACCGAATGATCTAAAAAAGATTTTGGGGTAATTTCCTACTGGCTTCGCATTGCCTCGTAGACTACCATACACATTCAGACACTTAATTGAAGGACGGATTTCTACCGTAATCCCAAACTCTGACAACTCTTCCTAGCTACCCAGACTGTCTTTTTCGCACAATTCCTCGACAAATGCTCCTCTATCACCACCAGCGCTATCAATCGATAGGCTTACCGTAACTTCAGCACTCAACGAGCCGTGAGCAGTTCGTACGTTGGCGGCGACGACGTCAACGTCGTGATTCATACAGTTCTCTCCATCCACGTCCGCGCCGGTGTCAGCTCAGTATTTCGGCTGCGCTCCTCGCTCACGCTCTCCCAAAAGCTCTCAATCTCTCCTCTCCTCAACGACGAGACGACGAGGACTGGATTATTCTCGATGCTGACGTTGAGCAAACATACGCCGAGCGCATATCCACCACCACCAGTCCAACCACACCGCCGCCGTCGTTGTCGCCGCGTCGCTCAGCCGCCGCGCCGCTGAGCGCCGTCGCTGCACGTTCTCGCACCCCTCCCTCCTCCACCTCCGCGCTTCTCCACACGAAAATATACGAATCGCTATCGTCGACGACTCACATTTCGGGGGACCAACCATACCTACGACGCATTGCGTTAAGTTTGACGCATGCGCCGGAGAAAACGCTAATTAGGAGCCTTTTGGGGGCAGCCGGGTGACGTATTGTTTCTGTTGTTGAGTTACGTCGTTCTGAGCCCCACCCAGGAAAAGCTAATATTGGTTTTCTCGGTTTGGTTAACACACATGCACACACTCACATGCAAACAAATGCTGCTGAAATGAAGACGGATGTTAAGATGGCGCCTTTTTGAAAAGAAACCCTTGAAGTTGAGCTAAGGAACCCGGATTTCAGCGAAACTTTGGTGGGCCAGAAAAAGTCCATGGCCAACTGCAAAATCCTATACAAAACCAAACTCGAACAGAAGTTGAATAGTCCTATTCACATACAAACCATAGTTATCGATTGAATGAACCACGTCATATACAATGGCTATGACTGAGCCTATTGCTATTCTAGTGAGTAAGACTTGAACCTAGAAAATCGCGATATACCTACGGAACTTGGCATCATTCCAAATTCCTGCTTGGGTATTCCAGGAGAGATGGAAAAATGTCTTCTGCTAATGGTGATTCTAGGTAAGGAAAGATTAACCATGATTTGCAAATGAGTAGATTGGTACTTTTTGGGGTGGTTTCCTGAAGCGCATAATTTCGGGTCTAGAAATATTACCTCCACCTCACGGACGTAGCGAAGTTGAAGTTTTTGAAAAAGGATTCCTGATCCAGAAACGCGAATTAATAGACGCTTGGGGGGGAGGGGGGGGGGGGGAGGGGAAACTGAATATCGTCCTGTCTGTCCTGTTCTGTGGTGAAGTAGGGTTCTAAGAAGCTAAATTTTTGGAGATTACAGGAGCAGTGCGTCTAAAATTTGAGAGAGTATCGGCATAAGAAGCGAAATTTTTGAAAAACAAATGAAATTTCCGAAACCGTCAGGAATAACCCCGAGTTTTTTATATGGCAGTATATCACCACACTCTCAAAAATGAATCTTAGTATTTGAAGTTCCTGCCTCTTAATACTGACTGTGAATTATTCTAAATTATTTGAATATTCGATTTGACATAGCTATCCCTACAGAGCAGCACCGTAGAGCTCGTTATAATGAAGGCAGGAAAAGAAAGTGAAATAAAATTCGATACTCTGCTAGACCTAGAACATACAAAAACACACATATTGAGCGCACCATGTGCAATTTGCGATGGCAAGACGAGAAGACACACTAGAATCCGGGATCATCAAAAGTAGAAAAATTGGGAAAAGTAGGAAATATGAGAAATGAAAAGCTGATGAAAATCTAGAAAAGTGAAGTGAAGCTGATAAAGGTGAAGGACGTAAAAAGAAAATATGTCTGTGCCTGGCTGAGTATCAGCAAAAATGATGCTTCTTGAGGCTGCGTGACAGTGATTACCGTGGATTACTGTATGATTACGGTATGGATGGCGAGATGACACATGGCATCGCGGATCATTGGAGTCCTTGCAGTTTCCGTCGCAACACGATGATTAGTCGTTTCTGTCTGAAAAAGAAATCTACAGATTATTTTGCTTTACAAAACTTAGTGAAATTCTCTAGACAGATGGTTTGAATGGATAACCAATAGGTATTGATTTTTTTTATCCAAATAAGCCCTGAAAATGTGAAAAACAGCAGAACTACTTAGAAAAAGGGATGAAAAACATTGACGGCTACTCTTTTACAAAAATTGAAAGATGGAAGTTGTTGGACATTTTTTACCACACTAACCATAGATAAAGACGTAAAAACACATTGAACATATGGTGAAAATCTAAATCCCAGGGGCCCTTAAACACAAGAGTAAAATTTTACTTGTATAGTCGCTTAGTGTTGAAGATTTCCACTGCTCCAATCTACGGATGTTTCTTAAAATGAACATTATTGGAAAAAATAAACAAGAAACCAAAAAAGAATTGTCAAGTTTACGATAACCAAATATGCCTATCTTTCGGAGTTCAAGTATTTTCCTTACTCGACGTATTTCAATTACGCTTTTCTATCCCTCTATTTCTACATTGAACTGGATCATTTTTTCTATGCTAGGTGTCTATCAGGTTATAGAAATATACGGAAAACAAAAAAGTAGTGAGATAGTGAGAAAAATGTTAAAATAAAATGTATAAGTTCCTGTTTAACTGAGTCTGCGTAGAAAATTTTTTGTCTTCTGGATGTTCTTGTAATATCGCTTACGTTTGTAATATTTGTTTTTCTTTATGATACTCATTACCGCTCTTCGTAACTATCGATACTTCATTTGAATTACTTTGCTATCTTCCCACATGTACACAAATATTGAGACCGCCTATCTAGTTTTTTTCCAAATCGGATTTACCTGAGAACCTTAAAAAAAAATGATACCTTCAGCATGACTTCAGCATGATGTTCCGATGCTCTTTCGGCGATTTTCTTCAAGAAGAAGAGACAGGGTGAAGCAGATAACTAACTAATATACATCAGATTTTTGATTTTTGAATTCTTCTGCGCTGAGACTCTACATTTTTTACAATGTTGTGTGATGTGATATAATTGCTATTTGAAAAGTTTTTTTTTATAATTTATATGCCCTATACGTTGACATGTTACGAATGAGAGATTATAAAAAGCTTAGAAAGATGGATTTACAAAAATAAAAAGCTAGTAATTCAAGTCCCGATGTGAAAAAAATTACAAATATTTTGTTATTGAGGAATTATTGTATAAGATTCTCGATAATTCATCATATTCACCGTATATTCTGTCTTCCATCAGTCAAAGCCGACAATCCTTATCCTTACCGCTTCTTTCAATCATAAAACTCTTCACACCAACTTGACGGTGGAAGCCATCAAGCACTCGCGCGTTTCTCGCACCTCAAATCTTTTTTCGAAGACACAGCTGAGTTGCCGAGCGGTAGCGTCGTCGGATGTGAAAAAAGTTCTTCAAGTGGGTGTTGGGTAATGCATGGCGGTAAGATCTGAGGAGGCGGAAGCCATGGAACACTGCATCTTACCATAATCCGCACTAATGGCTTATTGGGAAAGTTTTAGAGCCGGCCACTGGGGGGTCTGAGGATCGCCTGGCGCGGGGACGCGTCAAAATAATGTGACAAATTGGCTTAATGGAACGATGGACTACGGTAGCGGAACCGGACGAGTTTGGTTGTTCTTGAACCTTTGCCAAGGGATTTTGAGCCATAAATTCGTATTCATAACTCTACGTCTCTACGGCAACCCAAAGCCCCACTTCACTCCAGGTATTCAATTACGGGCCCTATACAATCCATGCCAAGTAACTCAATCTTCAATATCGGAGCAGCTTTGTTGCTCCGCGGCGCTCTGCCCCCCCCCCCCTCTCTAGTCCGGTCACAGGAAATCCGATCCGACAAACAACTCTTCCGGTGCCGAAACGTACGGCATAGGGCTTGAGCCCCTCTGCCGCTCGCGCATGACATACGGAACTGGTTACGGTAGGTTACCGTATGCCATCAATCAATCGTGTTTGATGAAGCCAAATCATGAAAAGATCGGCCGACGACCGATTCGGCCGGTCATGTGCTTGGCGCCGTGGGTATTAGGTTACAACGGCAAAGGTAAAGACTCGGCAAAGGTTCGAAAAGGTTAGGGTGCGACGCCGAGGCAAGTTTTTGCTAGGTGGTTTTTCTGGTAAAGTAAACGATGATGAGGACTGCAAAAAACTGGTGTTAAAGTGAAAGAGGAAGGAGAAGAGGTAAGAATCAGGTGAAAAGAAGTCACTGGCGTGGATGACTTTACCAATAAATTTAAATTACTGGCTTGGTAGAGGGGGGGGGGAAGGACATCAGCATTGTACTATATTTTTTGGTATTAGTCTTAGAATGACCTTGGTATATTTACCCACCTTTAACCAGGTAAGGTAAGCGGTGAAATGAAAAGAATCAGAGGAGGTGAGATTTTTTAGTTGATTCGGATTGGTCTGGATAAGTCTACCTACTCTCAGGTATAGGATAAAGTAGTGAAAAAGGGAGGATGGCAATAGTGGTTTAGTACTCTTTTCCTTGTTGTTCGGAATAATCTGGAAACCAACTTTTACCGTTACTCACTTACAGGTATGGGTTAAGGTAAGCTGGTAAATCTGCAGATCTGGATTGGGGGGGGGGGGGTGAGAAACAGTGGTGTAAATACTTTTCTTCGCATGAACTAAATGAACACTCAACAATTGAATGTGTAATCTAAGGAGGGGGGGGAGGTAAGAGTGTAATACACACACTGTGGTGTGATACACTTTTTTGGTATTGGTCCAAATAACCTGGGTGATCTTACCTATCTATACTCAGCTATGGTGTAAATTAACCCGTGTTACTTTACTAGCTGAGGAGAGAGGGGTTAAAACAGCGGTTTAAAGCAATTCTTTGATGTTACCACAAAATCTATACATGTGAAGCTTCACCGCCTGAAAACAATTAACCCATATTCTTATTCATCTTCCACCCATCTACCCCCTCTTAATTACCCATAACCTTCGCGGCACCCTCTAACCCATCACCTTAACGCGGTAAATTCGCTCGTAACTTACGGACATTGTCATTTCCGTCGGATGTGCTTAGGACCAGCGCCATCGCCGCCGTCCTTTTATTTCTCGTCTCTTCAAATGCTCGGCGCTTTAGCACCGAGCGATGACATAAGGCCTCAGAGGTGCGACAATACATGCAAATTTATGGGCGATCGTTAGCTGAGGATGGCCGCATGTTTCAGGGCCATTTCAGGGTTACGGTAATGCGCCTTAGCGACGACACTGCGAGAACACGACGGGATGAATTGCACGATTAGGTGATTGATTACGAGGGGGATGTGTGGGAAAATGAGAAGGAACAGGAGAGGAAGGAAAGAAACTTTCACCAATACACACCAATTTTTCAGACTGATAAAATAAGCTTAGATTGGGGGCAAAGAATTCTGAAAATTCACATTCTAATTATTTGCAGCTCAAAACTTGGGCGTAAAAAGGAGAAAAGGGGTGGGGGGGGGGGACGATTTCGTAGACTCAAGTTTTCAAACTAGTTTAACCATCTTTGATATCAAATTACCATTGGTTTGAGCCAAAAATCCTAGCCATTAGCTAAGTCATTTATACTTGATGTGTGAATTGCACAAAACCCGCGGTATCATACGACTTATGTGCATCTAAGCTGCCACTTTACATGCATTTCATTCTTGTTAAAAATTTTTCTTTACGCACAATCAGCAAATAATGTGAACAAGTATTTCTGCAGCAGTTGGGTCAATTATGATCAATTCAATCGGCTTCTCCTATTTACCAATCAACAGTCGTGCGATCCTGCGCATGTTGTGCAACTACACATATATTAATATAACGACCATTACTAGAACTTGATAACTCAGAATAATAAAATTAACATCATAAAAATACGATGTTGGTCTTGCATAGTAAGGGTACCGTAACCCTACTTTGCAGATCAAAAACTAAAACCAATGCTTCCTTCGTAATCACCGCCTTCGATCACAATTCGAAAGATGGTCGCACGGTTGGGTACAGTATTCAGTCAAAAATACTTCCGAATTCAGATTCCTTCTAAACACCCCCCCCCCCCCTCCACTCCCTTTAGCTTTTTTCGCAACAGAAATTACTTCGAACAGCGAAGAACACAACCCATTACCCATTCCGCTGCTCCTCTTTCGCTGCTTTCGGTTGCGGTGTAGCCCATCAAAATGTAGGCGAATCTAGCCCAATCCTTTCATTTCCAACCTTTCTCTTTCATAAGCCTTTTCCGCAACCAAAAATTTCAGAATTCCATCAATAACTACTTTGGAACCTTACTCATTACCAATTCCTCAGCTTCACCACCTTGACTGCTGCGTGTTTACGTGACGACCGGATCCAGTCCTGCGTGACTCGACTAATCATCCCGGCATTTCCGTCCGGTGGACCGGTTCCACGGCAGTTTTTCCCCTATCTCGCTCGCTCACGCGGTATTGTTCCGTGGGAAATGCGCTGTCGAGCCGGCATTGTCGAAGTACGGTAGAAAAACGCGACTGCGGCTCGGCGCGAAAAAAAAACTTCGGGGAATTAGTGCCAGTCCCCGATCGCTCGCGCGCTGAGATGAGAGTTGAGGGTACGAACGGAAAAAAGGTTTATCTAGCACTTCAATACGATTTGAAGAGAGGGATCAGGGCGGGGGTTTGATAAGGGTAGATCATTTACTCTGATCATTAGCTTTCATGGTAGGATTACGGTAGCGATGCTGTTAGAGTTTCAAACCAAACTGACAGATTTGAAAACTGTTCACTACTGCGCGGGTATGCTTTGACGGGAAAGTTCTAGTAATTCTTATCGTAATCCCATTTACCGCACTTCTACTGCGAAACCATGACAAACTGCGTATTCTTGGCAAAACATGTATATTTAGGGGTCAGCTCCTTCGCTAATTACAAGAATGTCATTTACTCTATTTCTTATGGTTTTAGGCCTTGGGCATACTTCACGCGACTTCAGTAGCGGCGCGATTTGGCAATGCTCCAGTTGTCCATAATTCATCGCAAGCGCCTTTCAAATGCCCAGAAGATAGGACATTTTATTAGCCCAGGTAAGTTAAACACACTATGCATTTGTAGTCTGTCAGTGTTGGATTTGAAGGAATCTGGCAAATTGCCAGATTGCGTGGCGACTGAAATCACTTGAGATATGCCCGAAGCCTTACAGTGGGAGAATTACGGTAGTCTTACGGTAAGACATCAGCCAGATATCAGTATATGTTATCTAATATTAAGTCATAAAATAACATAATGATTCTCAGTACTGTCAAGCCATCAAGAAGTTGGAAAATCTTTGCGAAAAAATTATTAAAAATTAACTTTTAGGATTAATGTAAAAACGAATCATCAGCAAATTTTACGGTAGATTTACGTCAGGCGGTAAGAAGTCAAAACTTTACATTACTGCCAAAAATTATATCACGGTTGATCCGTGCAGTATTTACGTATATGTAATTCAGTTTGTTAGTTCCGGTCATTCTCTTCTTACGATGGGACTACGGTAGGCTTACGGTTGTATCTCTTCACCTAAAGCATACTAGTAAACAATTGTGACAATTTTGAATACTGCCAGATTTACTACCAACATGCCAGAAAGTACTTTTTTTCCCAGTTTCTTTGAAGCGAAAGGCAAAAAAATCAATAAAATTAATAAAATCGTATATTACTATGAAATCAGTAGTTCTGCGATGTGCAAGAGTCTGCGGAACCAATATGTTGGAAATATGGGTGTGCGGTTTCCAAGTAATCTTATTTAGTTTACCAAAGTTTGACTACCTCATGCCTAGCTTTTACGTAAGTCTTTTGGGTTAGTTATCTGCACAGTGCACTAATCTTACCCAAAACTTTACTCATCTAGAAGCTCGCATACCATACTCACTCCTACTTCAATCATAAGGCCATTGACCTATGGTCCAGGTCGAAAGTTACCGTGGAGAGCCTCGAACCGTATCTGAGCGCGAAATACTAGTGCAAATACACTCTCGGACCACTCGCACGGCATGGGTCCTTGTCTCACTCACTCATTCACTTAGTATCAAGCAGGCAGTCCACCTAATTACAGAGCACAATAGTTCTTGAGTCAGTGCGAACGCAAAACTACGGTAAACATTGCGTGCTCCACTACTATAGCACGCTATTCTTCTCGTAATTAAGTACATCTTGAGTGGGACCTCAGGAAAACTTTTTGGCTCGAGTGCTAAGGAAGTTTGTGGAGCATCTATAGAGAGGAGATGGTACACTTTGGGGCCCTCCTGGTACTCATGGATTGATGGATTGACATTTTGGGATTTTATTTGTGAAATTGCAGATTACACTGATTAATTAAAACCATAAAATATTGGTAAAGATAGAAGATAATTTTCACAACATAATTCTGACAACAATAATAATAGTGATTAGCAGCACTGGAATTTGTGAAAATGCAGAACCCAATTGCAGAAATGCACTGCGTACAAAACGAATAATTTTAAAAATATAAACGGTTAACCTCTTTTTCAGTATCTAACGTGCTTATTAATACTTACTCAACTTTTAGGCTTACATCTATAAAGTAAATTTACAAGCAGAAAAGTGGCAGTTTAGCATATGAAAATATCGAAAGATTGTACCTGATACTACGAAATGCATTCTGTCTTCCTTTCAACTCCTTTCCCTGCTCACACAGAAAAGGAAAGGTGAGAGCACAGAAGGTGCGAAAGGCTAATGTCAAAAATTATTTGTAATAAATCATCAGAGAAATTTAATTAGAAATTCACCAAAAAAAGGAAGATTGCATTTTTGATTTGAAGCAGAAAATCCCCAGTAAGCATAGAAAAGCAAGAAAATTTTTTCTTCAATAGAATGTGTACTTGATACCCTCGATCGAGAATAACATTTTTGCATCACTGCATTATATGCTCACAATAGTAATCTCCTCCCCCCTCCCCCCCCCCCTCCGTCCGAAGTGGTACATTTTGAGAAGTTTTCACAAAAGCTTATTATGTACAAAGTTTCAAAATGATAGTTTGTTAACGAAGTATAAATAATAAAAAAATGGAAAACGTGAAAAGAGGGTCCGCGAAAATGAACTAACTCAAATGCTCAACTTCGCTAGGAAATTTTTTACCCCCCCCCCCTATAATATTTAGCCTTATAACCTTGAACTCAACCCAGGCTTTACTACAATAACAGTTTCAAAGTAAATAGTCACACACTTTTCAACCATAGAAACAGAAAAGCACAAAGGTGTCCCGAAGATTATGGCCTATAGTGAGTATTCTCAATCTAAAACCAAATCTTTAGTGAACCCAATAGATATCCTAGGGACCAGAAAAACAAAACGAAAGCCCACAGAGACACATAAAACGTACTTGTCGATCTCGCTCCTCAGTCGATGTACATCTTCAATCTCACTGAAGTCCGTATTGGTGTTATAGGTGTAGGTGGACATATTCGAAATGGTTCTTCTCGGTGGTGGAATCGGATTCCCATTGTTATTACTGCGAAGACTAAAAGAGACGCACGTGCAAAACTTAGAACCCGAAAGGACATGAAGAAACATGAAGTATTACCTAATCTAGTCGAAGAACTATTGATTATTGATTTTCCTGGAATGTTAGCACACTATTTGCGCATTTTAGGACGAATGCTAAGCTGAATTAAGCGCGATGTAATATGTTCATGGAAGATATTAACACAGTCCCCTTACAAGCAAAACGCAAACAATCAACAACAAAAATTGCAACTGAATCCCAAAACGAGAACTGGTCCTCTTACAAGATTTTGGTATTTTTATTACTATTGAAGACACGTTTACTCATTGTTTATCTACTTGTTTACATCTGATCATGGAGAACGCGCTAAATTATTTATCTTTCAAAATTCTGTTCACCGCCACAAAAAATATGGTACACAATTTGGAGACCAGTTTCCGCGCAAGCTAGAACTATCAAAATTGCTATCTATTACACATCGCCATCACAGATAGTTGAACCGAAAAATAGTTACCCATAAAAAGATCAACCTAGACGACTAAAAGATAGTGTACCCCGAAATGGAAGAAAAACAGAAAAAAATTCGAAAAAAAATCTAGCAATAATCCTCACTTTTCCATGTCTTCTTTCAACTTCACTTTCTCCTTTCGGACGGCATCAAGTTCGGCTTCAACAGCTGCTACTTCTTCTTTTCTTCTGGAAAGAAAAATCAATGTAAAATTTATTGAACGAGAACTGGTCCTCAAAACACAAATTTTGTACGATCTGCTTGATCAGAAAAGTGCACTACGCAGCACGGCAATGAAATCAATTTTCGTAGAAGTAATACGATGTATCGCAGACGAGAACTGGTCCCCAAGACCCGAGCTGTGTGTAAATAGAGCAAACGGCTGAAAAGACCACCACGATGATAGAAGACGGTACTGAAGACCAGTTCTCATCACCAAAGTGACATATACTCAAAAAGGAAAACCTACATCCTTTCAGCTTGTTCAATAGATGACCTTTGATCTTCAATTCGTGACTCCATTACCCGCATTTTAGCCCGTAGTGCTTCCATGTCGCTGGCTAGTTTGTCCCTTTCAGCTTGGGCACTAAAAATGAATTGATTACTCTCAGGTCCTGCACAGAATGGAAGAGACGAAGAAACTTACGTTTTCAGTTTGTCAGCAAACTGTTTGGTGATGAGATCTTTTTCCGTTTGGAGAGTTTTCTCAGCTTGTGAGTGTGCCTTCAATATCTCACTTGCTAAGCGAACATTCTCAGCAGCGAGACGATTGATCTATAAAATGTTTTTCCAAAACAAAACAAAAAATCAGCTTAGAATCAGAAATTATATGCAAATCTAGCAAAACAGTCAAGAATATTTCGGAATTGTAAGTGCGAGAATTGTTCCTCGAATCATTTTTGAAGGACCAGTTCTTGCTTAAGTCTAATCAAAAAGAAGATCAAATATCAAGTCATTCAAAAGCCAGAAATGGTAACAATCGAAAGAGCCTGGAGGTGTAGGTGCGAGAACTGGATCCCGACACAACTTCGGGGACCAGTTCTCGCATATTGATAATCAAAAAGAAATCGTGACTGCCCCAACCTTCTCCTCTCCTTCTGAGCTGCTTCTGGCTTCTTCCAACTCTCTTTCCTTTTCATTCAACTGTTCCATCCATTTTTTCCGTTCCTCACTGAGTTCTTCACGTTTCTTCGCCTCATTTTCTAGCAGCGCAGACATGTCTTGAAGGCTAGCAACCATTACAGCATTGTCCTTCGCTGTTTGGGTTAGACGAGCCTCGAGATCGTTGATCTACAAATTTCGTGTGCAAAAAATACTCACTGATTGTTCAATTCCTCCTTACCTTCCTGTTCAATTTCTCCTCCTGTTCCTTATGCAGCTCTTCGAACTCCTCTTTAGCCTTTTGCATTCGTTCAAGTTCTCGCTTTGGAGCGCTTTCTTTCTCCTTCATAGCGACTTCCAATAGAGCTGATTGGTTTCTGTGCACCTCCTTAGCTTCATCGAGCTTCTTCTCAGCATCCTCCAGCCTTTTACGGTAGATTTCTTCCATCTCATGTCGCTGCCTTTCTAGCTCTTCTATTTGATCTTGTCTAGCTTTCTCCATATTTTCTATGTGTTGTTCTAGCCTAAAAATGGAAAAAATAGGCGAATATAGCAAGAAAATAAAAAATCGCCAGAAATTGTGGGGAAGAGAACTGGTCCCCAAACAGCTTTGAATGACCCATTGATTCAGAACCCTCTGCAAGTTTCCCAGACCATCACAAATTGAAGAAAGCAAAAAGATCATGATTGCAAGCGTAATTATGGTGTAGGGACCAGTTCTCGCCAAAACAAATATCCGCAAAAACTACCTTTCTCGATGAGCCTTATGCTCAGCAGCCATTTCCTGTATCTTAGCGTTTTTTTCGCGCTCCAATTCTTCCAGCTGTTGTTTTATTCGTAAGGCAAAATTCTCGGATTCTTGCAGCTTCTCTGAGGATTGTTTTGATAGTCCTTGCGTGTTTTTCAGCGTCAATTTCATCTCTTCGTATTCCTAAAATAAGGAAAATTTACATAAGATCTTTATAGGTGGCCTAACATGATTTATTTAAAGGGTTTTGGAAACATAAGGTGTTGATTTCGACTGATTAACAAAGGAGCACTCTGATTGGTCAGCACACTGCATGCAGCTACGCTATGATTGGTCACACTCTAACTTACCCGTTCTACCTCAGCCAATCGCGCACAAGCAGCGCTGTATCGCTCAGCTTCAGCCGTCGAAGCATCTTCAGAATGCTTGAGCTTTTCTTTAAGCTCAGCAACTTCTTCTTGAAGTTCTTCCACCTATTTTTTGAGAATTTCCATTCAGGACCAGCTTGTTAATATGATCAAACTTACTTTTCTCTTTTGCTTATCTGCATTATCGATTAGATGCTGCTTTTCTTGATCGGCTGAGTTCTGCATTCGAAGTTGTTCTTCTGAACGAAAAAACTTCAGGACATTTTACAATAAAAAAACAATAAGATTTTTACCTTCCAATACTCCAACTCTAGATTTGCTGCTTGCTGCCTCCTTCTGAATAGCCTCACATTTCTCCGTCAACTCTCGCAACTTCCTCATCGATTCTTCTTCAGCTGCTTTCTTCTGATCCTGCACTTTCTGCAGCTCCGCGCGCAAACCTTTGGTTTCTTCCTGGAGTTTGGAATTCTCTGACTTCAGCTGGGATGTGCTGGACGCAAGTTCAGCTTCATGTGCAGATCGTGATTCTTCGGAGCTGGTCAGGGCAACGATCCTGGAATTTTGCCAATTTTAATGGACCACCAAAGCAGGGTCCAGACCAGTCTAGGCTCCTAGGTTTCTTGGATGCAAACTGTTAAGGAGTTCTTAGCTAAGTCGTTGCGGAACTTGCAGCTCACATGAATCATTCGTGGCCAAGAAATTCTACCCAAAACTCCAGCCCAGACCATGCCTTATACCGTACCCCAATCAAAAAGATTACGGTATCGGCCAGAGTTTGTAGTCTAATTTCTCGACCAAGAACGGACCATATGAGTTGCCGTTTGGGCAACAGCTTGCTAAAGGTCTCCCAATAAGCTCCCAAATAAGAAACTCAGGAATACAAATAGTCTGAATTCCTTACTTTTCATGCTCTCTACTCATCTCAGCCTCCATCATGCTCCGCTCTTTTTCGGCTATTTCAGCTCGCGTCTTCCATTCATCGCTTTCTTCCAGCGCTCGTTCCAGTTCATCTCGGACTTCTTCCAGCTGGCTGTGGAGTACACGAATCTCCTCTTGGAATTGCCTAAATGTTTTATATTTAGTCGCTTTTCATTGGCAGAAGAGTTCAGGTAGATTTGGGTATCTGAATTCCTCAACTGAAAACTTGTGAAGGCTTCACTATTTGAAAACGATTGAGAAGCCTTCGCTAAGAAATTACCCAAGTAACAGTCCATACCATTCATTCGCCTCCGAGAAATCCAAGTCTGAACTCTCACCCAGCACCGTACTCGAGACTGATTTACGCCAGAAAAGTACGATACTGGGCAAGAATTTGGAGTTGATTTTTTTTGTTCAGAAATAAATGATATGAACTGCGGTTTAAGCAATGGCTTGGTTAAGCCTTCCCAGTCAGTTTCCACATGAAAACCAAGTTAAATAGATTTGCCTGAATAGTAGTTATCGTACCCATTCTCCGCTCGCACCGCTGACAATGAACTCATCAGGGTGTTGATCTCATCAGCTACAGAAGCTTTGGACTCCAACTTTTTCTTTTCAATTTGCAAATCGGCCAGTTGCTTTTCAAGCTTCGTTACTGCCTCTTTAGTGACCACAAGCTCATTCTTCGACAGCTGCAGTTGCTGCTGTAGTTTCAAGCTGGAATACGGTAGGATTACGGTGCCAACATATACGTTAGTGGAAAGAACTTACATCTTCTCTTCAGCATCTGTCTCGCTTTCACTAGCCTCTTCCAGCTTTTTGTTGAGTTCTTCCAGTTCTTTCTTTGCATTCTTGGTGGCCTCCTAAAAAACTTTTGATTTGGATGACTTCGAAAGAATGAGACAACTCGTCCGCTTTACCGCTATAGCCGCTTCGGCTTTGTGCAACTTAGCAACGACGTCATCATGCCGCTCTTCTGCTTTCTTCAGCTCAGCTCGAAGAAGGTTGACCTGGACGAGTTAACGCTTGATGAGGGAGAACAGAATTCAAATGGAAATGATCTCTACCTCCTCGTCTACGCCACCCTTAGCATCCAACTGCGCTTGAAGTTGCTGAACTCGTCGGTCAGTTTTGATAACCACCTGCTCCTTAGCTTTCAAATCTGCATCGGCTTGTTCCGCTCGGGACTCGGCTGCCAAAAGCTGCACCCGGATGGCCTAGAAATTATAAGTGCTTAGGTAGCGTACGAAACTGCGCGGTGCCAGCGCCGCGTCAGCGCCGTGCCAGCGCCGCGTCAGCGCCGTGCCCGTACTGGCTGGCCGACACCGCCACGGAGCTAGCACTGCGCTGAAACGGTGCTGGCACGGCGCTGGCACGGCGCTGGCACCAAACTATCTGGATGCAGCTCAATAAGGATAAACAATCATTGCAAACAAAACTTACATCCAGCTTGGAATCCTTCTCCTTCAGAGTGACCTCAAGCGTCTTCAATCGCTCCGTAAGCGTCTTCACCTCCTCATCTCGCTCGAACTCCCATCGCTTATTTCGAGATGCTTCCTCTTGCGCTTCCTAAAATGAGTTTGCTTCCTATTGATGATCAAATAGAATTTGAAAGGAAACAAACCTTCTCCAAGCGGCCGATATCGTCCTTCAGATCAGCGATGGTCCTCTGAGCCTCATCATACTTTGACTCCATATCACTAAGTTTCTCTTCGTCTACCTTCTTCTCAGCGATCAGTCGTTCACAGTTTTTCATGAGGGTTTCCTGGAGAGAATCATCTCAAAAATATCAAAAGAAAATCTGAATAATCTTAGAGTTTAAGGTGAAAGATATCGTTGAATAAAGAGACCGGTGGATTGTTTGGTCAAATATGATTACATCATCTAAATTTGATATTTAAAACGATTATGCATCGTGCAAAGTTATCACAAGGAATTACTGCAGATTTCAATTAATTTTGTAGAGATTTTTTGATTACAGATTCTTTTTATAGATTTTTATCAATTTTTGCAGATTCTTTGGTAATGTATCTTTTCAAAATGATTCAGTGGAATAAGAAATTTCACCAGGCAGTCTCACCTTTGAAGCGACTTGTTCTTTCAGGACCTTCTCCGCTTCATGAAGCTTTTTCTCGAATTCTTCCAGCTGTTTGGAGGATATCGAGCTTTCCTCCGAAGACCTGGAACGTCTAAGCTGGGCTGATTAGGTGCTAGAATACACACACCGAGAGAAAAAATTCTAAGCTATCCGTCAGAAACTTAATGAAGGAGATTTTAATTGCATATGTGAAGACCATTAGATGGAACGAAATATCAAATTCCAATAATTCGAAGAAAAACCAAATAATTCAAACCGCAGATACCCTCCAAAACAAATTAAACTTACAAAGATTCTTCACGAGTTACACTAAATTTTCTTTACACCCTCTTCGACTGATAATAGTTGAAGTTGAGAATTGGACTTACTTCCGCAATTGAACAATTTCCTCCTTCTTCGCTTCTAGTTCCCGCCTTGACTGTACCAATGCTGCTTCGGTTTCTTCCAACAACTTTGCCATCTCCTCATTTTCTTCTTTCAAACGATCGGTTTTACTTGAGTCCTAAATTCACGCAAATTTTCAAGCCTATATGTGGGATTTTCAAAATATTTCTAACCTGTGTAGCTAGCATCAACGATTGTAGAGCAGCAGCCTTCATGTGCAACTCTTTTTTCGTTTCTTCAATTTCCATCTGCATCTGTCGCTTCTCCCGTTCATTCTGATGTTTCGCCACTTCGCTTTCATGCCGGGCCTTTTGTAGATCAGCTTCCAGACGACTGCTTTCCTTGGCTGAGGAGCTCTGATAATATCAGCAAAATGGTCACAGGCTTTTTGATGTAGATCAAAATTGTATACCTCAAGTTCTTCCACTCTTCGTTGAAGCTCTTTATTTTCTGATTTCAATTTTTCTACTTCACCAGCTGGTTGTGTATCTGCTAGTTGAGCAATCATCGAGTTAATCTGAATACGCAAAATCAGATTACACAAAAGAATGTAATGAGTGCCGAAAACTGGTCCCCACACATGAGTGATAGGAAAACATACAAACTTTTTCGTGAAAATTCTTTTTGAAATTCAGAGACCTGACTCGTAACAAATTATCGTGATTTTTGTGGATATTGATGTAAGGTTTATGTTGTACTTTTTTTTAATTCCTCATTTTTAGACAAAGTGGAAGAATTTACAGGCTTTCCCTTCTGATCTTTTCTTTTTAACCCAGTAATTTCTATGTATTGTTCTTCTTGTGCCGTACAGGTTGGTAGGTGGTCCTTTATTAGTCAGTATCAACAGCCTTACGTTTCAACGCTTTCGTTTTCGTCAGAGGCCTAGAATGGTTCTGAGCTTCTCAGTGAGTCCAGCCCACCAAATGTCTCTCTTAGTTCTGCCAGTTTTCGGCCTTCACCCAATCTAGTTGCCACAAAAATTGCGAAAACAAAGACATACCAGGGAACCACCGCTTCGTCATCAGATGTCCGTACTCGAGACATTTGGTGGGCTGGACTCACTGATGAAGCTCAGAACCATTCTAGGCCTCTGACGAAGACGAAAGCGTTGAAACGTAAGCCCGTTGATACTGACTAATAAAGGACCACCTACCAACCTGTACGGCACAAGAAGAACACACAATACATACGAAGAATGCCCAGGTTCAAAACAGACGGAGCTTGGAAACCAGTGATTTCTCATTTTTCATTAGCCATTTTCCTATTTTTTCAGTCAAAATGGAACTATGCACGTGATGCACATATGCCCATGTAACATGATATGCCCTCGAGTTTGAAGTACTCAGAATAATTGATCAGAAGTGGACGCAAATGAAATGCTATCCTTTGCAGGGTGCCAAAATATTATTATTGTTGGAAGGGGTATAGTACAGTGTGAAGTAGGTTACAGTAATCCATCTAAAACTCATAGTAGTTACAATTTGAATTTTCTTAGAAATCTATTCACCAAAATCCTAAGTCATCCGAAAAAGGGCTGAAACGTCTCTTGAATTTGCAACGTTCATGTCAAGCTGAAAAAGTCGGTTTTCTGGGGAAAATAGTTTATGGCTTTCATCTGCAAATTTTTCATTAAATAAAAAAGCTTTGCTCTTTGATAGGAGGGTAGTCATAGCAGTATTTTTGTACCTTGGAAGGGAAAAAAGGTATACTTAAAACTATTCGATTCTTTCAATCAAAAACAAATAATTTACTCAAGTTTCAGACAATTTCTTCCATCTTGCACGTTTATGAGAGGTTTCGAGCAGATTTTCTCTTCCAAGCGTTTTTTTGAATTTCTAAAGCTTCTCTACCTGCAGGAAAAGCTCGTGCTTCTCATTTTGTTCCCTATCCAACTGCATCGTCAACTCTCGCTTTTGTGCCATCAATAATTGGACGTCCACTGGAAGTTTCGATTCCAGTTGTCTCTTCTGCGTCTCCCATTGTTGCCTGGAAGTAAGGAACTGAGTATAAACGCACTATGAAGATGTTGGCTCAAAATTCTACAAGAAAACCACTTCGAGCAGGAGAGAATTTCAAGCATAAAATCCCAACAGATGGATTGTGGGGACCAATAGATTGCAAAAAGCAAGGCGAAGTTTTACAAAAACTAGCAAAAATGAAAAAAAAACCAAAATCACGAGGCAGAAGAGAGCAGCCATGGGGCCATTTCGGTAGCAATCGTAATGAGATATGTGAAGGCCTAGGGGAGGCATGGAAATGTTTGAAGATAAATATTGACGCTGTAACATGGCCATACGCAAACATTTTAGCCCTCCTGATATGGATTTCCGTCACACATCTTGGCCAGGCAGCCAACGTTAAAAAGTATGGATAGATGAGATTTTTTTTGGAGGAAAATAAGGAAATGAGAAGATTTTCTGTGACACAAGCCAGCAGTTTTCTCGAAAAGCAATTCTAGCATTAAAGCTGGTATTCGATGCACTGCAAGAAAGCAAAGATTTTCAAAGCTACAAAATATTGCAAAGTATTCTTTTCTGTGCATAAGGCCTTAAGTACACGATGCTAATTTTTTGATGTTTAAAATTCTCAACTGAGTAACCCAGTGTTAGCTTGAAAATCCTTACGCATGAAATTCTGATTCCCTGGCAATAATAATCAATATTGTGCCGAGTTTATCAAACTTTATTCTTCCATTTGATCAATTATTTTTTGTTATTAGTCAAGATAAGCTGAGCTTCAATGATGATGTATTTACACATTACCATATTTTTTGATTTTTCATGATTTCCGTACATTTTTGTTAGAAACTTCATCCATTTCTCCCTTCGTCCACTCATCTATTCATTTATTGTCAGGTTCCTTTCGTTCACCTACTCGTTCATGTCCTTTTTAAATCATTCCTTCCTCTCTTTCTTTCGTCCTTTGATTTATTCATTCACTCATTCATTCATTCACTGCGTAGTAGGATTCAACCACTCAAGTCATTAATTTAATTATATCATGTACTCTCTCATTAGTGTGTTCGTTTCATTTCATTCACTCCTTTACACTACCAATCATCCTATCCACCTATAAATTCAAAAAAGACCAATAATTGTCCTCGAGCATTCCAAATTTCAAACCATAACGCTATCCATTACCTATTCAAACATGAAATGTCTTCGACCAGTGTTTGCTGCAATATTAGAAAAAGCGAAGATAGTTTTTGACAAAAGGCAATCTTTTTTTACAATATAGAATTTAGATGCTTTTTTAGGAAAAGTGAGTATGGCCTTGTCTTCACTTTGAGGGTGAGAGGATTACGGTAGCTTAAAATATGTGCCTGTCTTCGGCTAATGACGTCAATCATCTGATAAATTCAAGTCATCACTAATCGTATGTACTTGCCAGAATTTCCTACTTTATTAAAAGTGAAATCCACTAAATGGCATAAGAACAGGAAACCCTCTACTTTATCAATTTAATTAGCACGTTAGGGCTTCTGCCCTCTCCACCTAAGCAGTAAAAAGTATCGAAGGAGCACGCGCAATTTCGTGCCAGGAATACATCAACTGCACACCGGATGCAAGCCATTAACAGCTATCGATAAATGGCTGACGTTCCTCATTTAAGGTTGCTGTACTCCATATATTAACCCGTTGACGACGGCTTGGACTACTGATGGCTCGTAGCACTTCTAGAAAAACCTTTCTTTGATTCTTATCCCATCAAAATCCGCAAATGATGCGTTTTTGCTCAACAATTCTTCAACTTTTGACTATCATAATAACCCCCGTATCACTAAAAAAAGTTGCTTGTTTTGGATGTTTCTCAGCAATAAGCAATGCTCAAAAAGTTGTGCAAAATCTCGTCGTTTCAATCCTCTACATCCAAAAAGCCATTTGTTTAGAAAATTCAACGTTGCCATTTCCTTAGCCCACTTCCTTAGGCCTTGACATCGTTGAGCCATTTCTGCTGATAAATTAAACTACCACTCTTGCGATGAGTTTTATTATTTGCTTAAAGCAAAAATCAAATCTTCTTATCTAGTTAGAATGATTTCAATAACTTTTATACTAAATTCGATTTCCTCATTGTTCGTTCTACATAAGATACTGTATATTCCTTTATCTGAGATCATTGTCTGGAAAATTCCATCTTCTATCCTTTATTCCTCATTCATACAATCATTCTTCGTAAGAATTCTTCATCTTGAGTTATCCACCTTTGTCAGTCCTCGATTCATCTTCACTTATATAAAACTGAATTCCACTGGTATTTTTGAAGGTTTCAACCGTTTTAATCATCGAATAAAAACTAGGAAGACGCTAACATTCATTTCCCAATCAAATCTCACACGGCTAAATTTTTATTTCTGAAATGCTAATTCGTCTCAAGGATGCATCAAATTCTTGCTCAACCCACCTGTCATTGATCACATTTCTAAAGACATAAGATAGATATTTGATTAGAATGCAGCTTAGCCGCATAAGATTTTTGCTTAGTACGCCTTGAGTTAACACATGTATATGTTCGTACAAACTAGTTTCTAGAAATATCACCGCTATGTTTCACATCCTAACATCTAACTACTAGTTCTCACTACATACATATGTATATAAACGAAAGCTGCTAAAAATGGATCAACGAAAAAGTTGCGAGGGTCGAGCGAATTACGCAATAATCTCAACCCATTACGTGTAACTAGTTCGTTATGGATTGGGTAATGGCTAAGGTACGGTAAGCGTTTTGCGTCAAAATGTTTGTTTAGCAGATTAGTGAGAAAGTTAGGCTGCGTGTAGGACGTGGGATTAATCTCTTCGCGAAGCAAGACGAATTTTGAAAGATGAGAGAGAAAGAGGGATTCGCTGGAAAAGAGGGGGACAGTGCTTGTACGAGGTTCATAAATGAGACTCCCGGACGAACTCTTAGCAACGTTTTCTCTAAGAAATTCAATCTGTTGAGCTTCTTAGATGAAACTGGTGGACTTACTAAGAAAAGACATTTCCCCCTTATACCTCAAAATTCGGGACAAACCCTTGTGGTATTACTGAGAACGCGAAAATAAAGGGAAGTCTTTTGACTTTAACTTCATTAGGCAAAGTATGTGCAATCAGTGCAACAGCTTTGACTTGAAATATTAGGTCGTTCCGAAAGTTCTTTCCGTTTTTTCAACATATCATAGAAACACGTGGAACGAAGAAAGGGAAACGCTTTAGGCCCTGTCCGACGCAACTTTTCTTCCTCTTTTCAACTATCTCACTCCTGTGCCACTCGCTCTTTTGGTCAGTGAGATGATGGCCGAAGTTTCGGAGCCATGGTTTTTACCATGTCCAATTTTGGCAATTTTTCACTATCTTCTTTTTTGACTTTTGGAAAAGCTTTGGTAACAGTCGGATAGAGTAAACAAAGCTCAATTTTATGCAATCTTTCGGCATCTATAGCTAGCCTCAAAACATTTTCAGAATTATTTTTCTGATGCTATCAGATTTCACTTTTGGGGATGTCAAAAGTCATAGAACATGGAACGGCGCACACAACTAACAACTATCATTCGATGCAGCTTTTTCTCCTCTTTCTGATGAGTGCTTTTTCTTCTTAGTTTGTGGGGTTTTTGGCGATAAAATTTGCATAAATCTTGATTTTGAACCCCCCTCATGATGTATCCGTAAAATGCGAAATCTTATATTTCGAAGCGGTAAGCGCTCAGTTACTTTGTAAAAATAGTGTACAATCATAAACGACTTTTGAAAGTTTCGAAAACCGAAGATTTGTTAATGTTCAGAGTGTTTGTGTGTTCTGTGACTCTGAAAAAAGTGAAGACTTCTGAAAAAGTTATCTCAAAAAATAATGAGAAGCCAGCTGGAATTGCCAAAAAATTGCATAAAATTGCGCTTTGTTTACTCTATCCGACTGCTACCAAAGCTTTTCCAAAAGTCAAGAAAGAAGGTAGTGAAAAATTGCCAAAGTTGGACATGGTAAAAACCATAGGTCTGAAATTTCGGCCATTATCTCACTGACCACAAGAACGAGCGGCACAGGAGTGTGATAGTTGAAAAGAGGAAGAAAACTGTGTCGGAGAGTGCCCGAAGCGTTTCCCCATCTTCAATCCTCGTGTTTTCATGATATGTTGAAAAAACGGAAAGAACTTTCGGAACGACCTAATATATGTCTCCATTATTTCTTTTGTTGTATCCCCTTTTTATCACATTTTCGGGTTTTGCGTCTTCACTCCAATGAGTGCTAAATCCTCCTATCTGCTAAGTGTACAATTATGTACGGTGACTCAGACTCTAACAAAGGAAGGGTCACTTGTCGAAGTGGCCTTTCAAGATGAACTGCATTCAGTTTGTAGGGCATCGAACGCTGATTTCAAATCTGTCCTCCTTATCTGCGAGCATCCCTTGAGAAGGAGCTATGACCATTTTAAGAGCCAAAAATTGAATGTGCAGCGAAGATGAAGACTTTCACAGCCTATACGTTTCGCAGATGTAATTCTTAAATGTGGGTGTAGCAGAAAATAATTATTCTTCGCTCAAATCACGAAACAGTGTAACATTCAAAGCAACCACTATCTTTTCAGCGTGTAGTTTTCTCCCTTCTACAAGGGTATAAAAAATAATTGCGAGAGTTTCCAACCATGATTTTTACTTCGCTCTACACTTGATGTAGCTTAAACTTCCCCGTGGTGTTTTGAATGAGGCATAGACTTATTGAGATAAGGCCGATAATATATTACATGACTGTTTTTTTTTTGCATCGATAAGCCTTCTGCAATTTTCGCAAAAACAATCTTCTAAGAAAAAACCTTTCATAGATAAGACGACACATGGTCACGATAAATCCAATTACTCGTTTTTCGCAAAGGGCATGATATCTTGCTCGTTCTGGTTGTGATATTATGTAGATTCCAGTTCATCAGATTAGATGGTTTTTGAGGCTTTCGTGCAGTCATGGGCTACAGAGTGCCTCCAAAAATTGATATCGAAAAGATAATAACATACAATTTTCAACAGAAACTTAGAAAGAGAAGGGTAAACTTCGTCTCCCAGCCCTCTCCCAGCTACTTTCAAATAATAAATCCAGCGAAGCTGAACAAGTATGTAGTTATCTAGGATACATTGATACTTTATTGCAAAAGGAAGTTCTGAAACATTTTTTTCAATTTGCCTTATAACTTCGAATAAACAGATTTTTTTGAGATCTTCAAAGTTTACTGTGGTTCTAACCAAATGTAAAGCACATAATTCAGTATTCTTTCTTTGCCGTACAGGTTTGTTACGGTAGCAACTTTATTGCCTTACGTTTCGGCCACACGCCGTCTTCAGAGGCCTGAAAGGAGGCAGTCACAATGATGTCCGCTCTTGGCCGCCAAACTTCTCCTCTCACTCGTACATTTGATTCATCTAGTGTAGAGAAAGCTGATCTGGCGTTGATTCGTACTCACCAGTGTACTACCGATATTGCAGTATGCAACTGCTTTAGACGAGCTCTTTCGATTGTGGTGACAAACAAATGAGCAGCGTGCATGGCACCGAACTGCTTATATACGTATAGACAATCTATAGCTCGCAAAACGGAAGATATGGCATAAGATCAGCGGTCGCGGATAACTGTTCATTCTTGCTGTTCATTTTAGGGTCGTCTAAAGCAGTTGCATACTGCAATATCGGTAGTACACTGGTGAGTACGAATCAACGCCAGATCAGCTTTCTCTACACTAGATGAATCGAATGTACGAGTGAGAGGAGAAGTTTGGCGGCCAAGAGCGGACATCATTGTGACTGCCTCCTTTCAGGCCTCTGAAGACGGCGTGTGGCCGAAACGTAAGGCAATAAAGTTGCTACCGTAACAAACCTGTACGGCAAAGAAAGAATACTGAATTTGTCTACAACATGCCCAGGTTTCAAGATAAAAGGACTTGTAACATGTAAAGCACATATTTGTACTACAAGGGCCCATCCTCATGCGATTCATACAAAAATGCGAAAGGAACAAGATTTAATTTCCAGAAGCAATTGTTCTAACATTTTTTTGCCATCAAGTAACAAAACTCTAATTTTGGCTTAAGACACGGTGTGGAAGATTTTCATTTGATATGGAAGCAGGGCTCGGCACGAAATGGCTTTTAGAAAATGCAAAAAATAAATTACCCCTTGACTTTTGCGAATTTTTTACGAAGCCCCTCAGACCCTGAACCCCAATCGTAAGGAAAACCCCCAATAACGAAAGGTCGACCAAAAAACTTCGCAATTTTGTGTCCATTCGACCTCAAAAACGATATCATCTTTGCTTTTATCCCAAAAACTATATCCAGCTCGCTTACAAGCCACATATGCCGAGTCCTGTTCGGAAGATGCATTATTAAAAATTCTAGGTTTTTTCTGGGAGGAGATCACTGGAACAAAAGGGAGGAAAGCGCAACAATTAAGCTTAGTCGATGTTGCTTTGGCTATAAATTGACTTGTAATTCAGCATCAAGTACTAAAAATAAATTTTCATTTTAATGTAGGGTATTATCGGGGGACAAACAAGGGAGAATTGAATTACGATTTGTTCAAGAGGACTTTTTTGGTGATGAAAAGACGCAACAAGATCATTAAACAGAAATTTTCAACTAAAAATCGGGTGGCGAGAAACGAAACGAATTTATAGTAAAGGCATATCGAGCTGCTTGCACAGCTGTTTCAGTACTTTGAGTCTCATGGTTAGGAGGGCATATTCAAGCAATCTGGCTGCATTAGAATGAAAAAAATTCTCCTTTTCACATAAGAAAAACCATAAAATGTATCACACTACTTTTGCTATTCTACAAAGCCAGCATGTACCCAACTACAAATTACTCGTCTACGTCCCATTTCCACGAAAAAGAAACAAAGAAACTTGAAAATGATTTTTTGAATTGAAACATTGCACTCCTGTGAAGATATCTTTTCAAGTATCTTCAAGCTGCTTAAAGAAAGATGAAGCCTCCAAAAGAAAAACTCGAAACGATCTAGCAACACCGAAATGAGTTCTTGAAGCAGTTTTCTAGCCACCATTTTTGAAAATTCACTTTTTAGCTACATAACTTTTAACTTATCAGACGACAGGCTCCCTAACAATGAAAATTGCACATTGTTCCAGACAGCTGTTATAGGACCCCTAGGATATAGAAAGGAAAAGAGAAAGAATAAGAATCAAAGACGAATCGATAGAAACTTGAGGCCACTCACCGGTCCTTGTCGGCCTTCTGCAGCTTCTTTTTCAATGCATCGATCTCGTTTGTGCGCTCTTTTAGATCTTTCTGAAAACAAAAATCAATAACTATGAATTGTATACATTTGAAGTTCCTTTTCTATAGTTAGGCCTACATATCAAAGTCCAGTTTTACTGATTCATGAAGTAAGACATATTTTTAACGAAATTCCTTAAAAGTGCTAATAATCTCACCCGCAAAGTATCAATATCCATGCTCATTATGTTGTTCATTTCGAATAATGCATAATAATTAGTAAGTAGTCAAATAAGTAGTTAAGTAGCGGGTAAAATAAGTAATGAGCCTGAAGAAATTGCAATAAACGACGGAATTCAGCAAGTAAAATTGCGGGAATGTATTAGTGTCGGTGGGAAGGAACAGGTTGATGAAGACTAGAGCAAAGAAATTGTAAATATGTGGACAAATTGATTTTACTTATTAGTGAACAGGTTTGTGTAGTGTTTGAATATTGAAGAATGGTACTTTGGCGAGTTTGAAATCTTGTTTTGGAAAATAACGCGCAAATTTTTTATGTGAGTTTACAATGTTTGGGAAAATTACTGTGATTGAGATATTGTAACAAGAAAATCAATGAAATTCACAAAGACTGTGTTACAAAATAAAATTTGATAATTTTGACAGCATTTGAAAAAAGAATAGTGTTCCGAAAAATTTTGCAAAAAAGATTTGAACAAATTGAATGCTGGAAAAGATCGTTTTTTAAAAGATCAGGAACTGACAACTTAGACTGTAATCAATTATGTTGTATTTTGAAATTAGACTAGATACGATAAAAAGATTTTTGAGAAACTTTTAACTAAATATCTGTAATATCTGTAATATCTGTATCTAAAAAAGACGGATTTTTATTGTAAAAAACTAAAAAGTCTATGGTCAAAAATGAATTGTGCTTAAAATCTTCGAAGAAATTCGAAAATTTAAAATTTAACTGGAAAACGTTTAAGTAAAATGAGGTACAGAATTCTGGAGAAAAGAAATAAAAGAAATACGCTTTGGCAAGGTTGAAAAATTGATTTTGCGGCTTGTGTTACTGAAAAATTAGGTGGAAAGATCAGCTCAAAACCAAGAAACTTTTTAAATCAAAGCATTTTCTTTGCATCATCTATTTTCCCCTCGAAAACAAATTGTTTCACAGAAAAATGAACAAAAAATTAGCTGCGACTCAAAGCCGAGTGAGACTCACCAGATAAGAGTCAATATTTGCTAAATGAGCGAGAGCAAGAGATCTTTGTGAATAGAATTGACTAAAGAAGTATGCTGTCAACAAAGCTCTGTTGAGAGAAATCAATAGCTTACAAAAACAAAAAGTATTGAAAAGCAAATGGACATTGTGTACTTGATGCGGATCTAGAGCATAAAAAAATAATAAAGTCTGGTCATAAGGAAAAAGTATTACGTAAAACATGATTCATAGTGGACTTGACGTGAATCTAGAAGATAAAGTAATACGATATGATTTATACAAATTCATAAACGATAAACAAGGGTCTGGAGGGGATCTTAAGAATACACTGAGAAAATAAAGATGTAAATTGTCATCATAAGAAGTTTGAGAATTGAGGACAGGGCTCGGCACATGTGGCTTGCAAGAACGCTGGATATCGCTTTTGGGACAAAAAGCAAAGGGTATGTCGTTTTTGAGGCAGGAAAGACACAAAAATTGTGAAGTTTTTTCAGTCGACGTTTCGTTTCTGAGGGTTTTTTGAATTTTTTAGATAGATCAGTTTGATGAAAACTACGAAAAAAATTTGAAAAGTAACTTAATCTCAGATAAAAGAAACCTGATTTTGTTGCAAACCTTCTATCATTCCAATATACTCCTCACAACTTCAGATTCAATGGTTTGTAGAAAAGTTCAAATAAGCCGTTTACAGAAACGCCAACAAAATCAAGTCACAAACGCAAATTACGAGGATACTAGAAAATTCTGGAGAAACTAATCACTTTTGCAAGCAATCTTTATCAGTGACATTACACCTACAATCAAAAAAGTACACTCTTATCATCGTTATTGCTCGTAAATTCCGCACTTTCCTCTAAAATGTACGCAATAAAAATAATAAGAGATAATCAGAAACAAAATACAAAATTAGGAAAGAAAATGAAATAGATTGGGAAGGAAAAGTCAAAAAAATTTCCTGGTATGCACAGATAAAAAAAGGAGAGAATAAAAGGTGATAAAAGGAGAATTTAGCGTAGAAAAAATACAAAATTTCAAATTTCGTGCTCACGGAAAAAAAATCAATGATTTAAGAAATTCCCGTTTCTTTCATTGAATTAAAACTGAGGTCAGTTAGCTGACCGTTCAACATCCATGCATTCTATCTTGCATAAGAGGAGAGAAAGAAGGGAAATCATCAAGGAAGGGGAAAATTTTTCGCAAAAAAGTAAGAAATTTATTATAGAACTCGAAAAAGATGAGATTTTTCTTATTGAATTTGTGATTTCTCTTAAAAGATAGCCTAATTTTGCGGGATTATCTAGGACCTAGCCTAATCTTGCGGGATTATATAGGACTTTGTCTCAGCTTCTATAGTGCAAAACGATGTAAATTTTCTGAGAAAAAAGGCGAATATCTAACTTTTAAATAAAATTACCCTAACGATTGAAAAACTCAAGAGAATTTCCCGAAAATTGGCTAGAAAACGTCAAAATTTTGACGGTGTTTGTGACGGGGTTGCTGCAGAGGTGACGACGGGAATGTTTTACCGACAGCCCGAAAACGGCGTAAATCGATTCGACCTTGTGTTTTTTCGCGTTATCTGTGACCATGTCAAATTTTTGCGAACGTATGTACAGAACACGATCGGCGAACACCCCCAAACATAGAGATTAAATCGCACCTATTAGCAGATAATGCGATGTTCGCGCAAAACAATACACCTACAGTTAGCTGCTAATTTCTACGCTCAAATTGGGTTAATAGGTTTAGAAATAAATTAAATTTGTAGATTAGTAGATTTATGATTTAAAATTGAATGAATGTTAGAAGTTCCTACTTAAGATATGTAGGTAAAATCTTTTCATATACTATAATATATACATACCCATATCAGTGGCAGACCCCCTCTCTTTCCTCCCCCCCCCCCCCCCTCACGAGAAAGGGTCCAAAATTTGGAAAATCACTTGCATGGGTTCTGTATACTTGTAAATGGAATGAAATCATTTTTTTGAAATTTTTTAAGAATTTAAACCAGCCTTGTAAAAAAGTTTTCGGTTATGGGCCTGCGAAAATTTTGGAAAGCATCTCAAAGAATTTTTTGAAGTAGTGCCCCCCCCCCCCCTCCCCCACCCCCGAACGAAAATAAATATTCTGTTTACTCAAAATCTCCAATCTATGCTTTTTGATCTACTTTCATTTTTGAGAAAATATGTATATTTTGATAAAAAGCGGAGATAAATATAAAATAAAACTATACAGAAATTTTCCGTTTCAAGAACAAAACAAGTTAAGTCTAGAAAATCTCGCTTTTATTATACAGCTCACTAACAATGAATAATCTCAAGAATTTCATAGGTTTTTTTGTCTCCCTATTTCTTTGGTTCAAAAAATAGAAAATGATCTGCGAAATCTATGCTTTTTGATCTATTTAATCTACATATTATGGTTCCTAAAATCAGTATGAGACCGAAGGTAAGGCCAGAACCGTGCAAAAAGCTTTAGGTCTTAAGATTTACACAATCCAAAAAAAATGATGAATAATAGAAGAACCTTGTGTTTTCTTTTGCACCGAGGCATGGTTTTCTAAATTCAAATAATCTTTGAAATTTTCTAGCTTTTATGACCTTATTATCTCCAGAATTGGAAAAATAATAGATTCATGAAGACAAAATGTTCCGTATGTAGGTATAAAAAGTCAAAAGGAAAAATAGATCAAACAGATGAATGAAATTCATATGTTTCAGCGTTTTTCTCATCTCATCTTTGAATATGAAAATAATGGTGGGTTTACGAGTTCATGAGAGGGAAGATTTGAGCAAAATCGTTCGTAGGTTTTCCGTTTCAGCAACGATATAAGATAGATCGTAAAAACACCTTTGCAATTCCTATAGGAAATGATCCCGTTGCATATTCTTCGATGGAACTTACGTTAGTATGATCGCACATAGTCTTTGAACTTTCTTCCATTCTCAAAATTGATTTTCATAAATTTCTGGTTCAAAAAAAAATGCTTTTTGCGAAAGTGGATAATGCTAAGCATATAATGTTGTGTTAATATAAGATGTAAATTGATTTGCAAGCTTGAACTAGTTTGTTAACCGAAGGATTTACCAAACATCAACAAAAAAGATGCAAAAACTGCAGTTGACAAGATAGCTGTTGTACGATAATCCCAAGCAATGTCTAAAATCCAGATATTCTGGATTGAATGACTCTGCGCTAGCGAAATCTTCCTGCAAATGCTTACTTTCCCAGCAGACGTCTGCTGAAGCGATTTCGTCAGTGGGTTTTGATCTTTTGATTCTTCCCCTTCCCCCAAAAAAAAAACTACTCGGAAAAGCCTCTTCTGCAAAAGACATATTTCTAACGATATATAGAATTATAGTCATGAAAAAGCGCAGTTCAGACACGTCACTTTTTCCAGTAAATCTGCTTTCAACAGTAGGTAGATTATAGTAGACAAAAAGCATAGAGTGCTGGATTCTCGTGCAACAATATGTAGTCACGGTCTCAGCGTTCAAAAAGCAGCGTCAGCTTATGCAAGAAAGATTACTACATTTGTTTCTTTGAGTGTTTTATCCTGCATCTGCACAACCAAATTAAAAAAGATAAAAAAACGCGAAAATGCAAAACAAGAGTTCATAAATATTGTATATCATATTATAAACTGATAAAATAAAACGAAGATTAGCAATTTTAGTTCAGGGTATCATCTATGCATCGACATATTTCAAAAGTGTTTAAAATTTCACTTTAGTAAGATTCTAGCCGTAAAATGCTAAGTAGTCCAGCTGATCTAACTTCATTTCTGCCTTTTCGAATCTCAAATATAAACATTTGTTACATATGAAATAAAGTATGTTGG